ACCATGCCCAGCTAATTTTTTCTGTTTTTTGTCTCACTGTGTTGCTTAGGCTGGTCCCAAACTCCTTAGGCTTAAGTGATCCACCAAACTCAGCCTCCCAAAGTGCTGGGATCACAGGGATGAGATACTGTGCCCAGCCCATATTTATTTTTTTTTTAATCACTGCAACTTTCAAACTTTTTCTAATAGACATGATTACCTTATGAAAAGATCAAATACATTTAGCTGATTATGGTGACATGCACCTATAGTCCCAGCTAATCCAGAGGCTGAGACAGGAGGATCACTTGAACCCAGAAGTTGCAGGCTATAGTGAGCTATGATCATGGTACTCCAGCCTCAGTTACAGAGTGAGACCCTGTCTCAAAAATAAAAATAAAAAAAGCAAACATATTTGAAAAGCTATTTGAGGTCCAGGTATGGTGGCTCATGCCTGTAATCCCAGCACTTTGGGAGGCCAAGGCAGGAGGATCACCTGAGGTTAGGAGTTCATGACCAGCCTGGCCAACATGGAGAAACCCCATCTCTACTAAAAATACAAAAATTAGCTGGGCATGGTGGTGTGTTCCTATATCCTAGCTACTCAGCAGGCTGAGGCACAAGAATCACTTGAACTTGGGAGGCAGAGGTTACAGTGAGCTGAGATCATGCCACTGCATTCCAGTCTGGGTGACACTGCACTCCAGTCTGGGTGACACAGTGAAACTGTCTCAAAAAAAAAAAAAGCTTTTTGAATGGTGACCTATAAAATAAGGTCCTTCCCTATTAGTCTATAAACTGTAAAAGAGAGGGAACTATCTTATATTTGTATTCCCTTTGCCTATCACTCTGCTCAATAAATAACTGAGTAAGTGATCTTCAGTAATGAATAATCTTTTTTTAAAAAAAGTAAAAACTAAATAAATACTCTTATTTTAATATCTTACTTGTTGTTAAAGCATAGAGAATATCAGATAAGTTTTCCTCTGAGAATGAATTTTTTTTTAATTTGGTATGTAATGACGTGAGATTCGCCCATTATAATTCTCTTTAAGTAATAATAACCTATACACAGAGGACCATGGAGTTTTGGAAAAAGTGAAACTCCAAATGATATTGTGCCCCAGAAGAGGGGAAGATGTATTACTAGAAGGGAATTGGCCAGGTGTGGTGGCTTACACCTGTAATCCCAGCACTTTGGGAGGCCAAGGCAGGCGGATCATGAGGTCAGGAGATCGAGACCATCCTGGCAAACATGGTGAAACCCCGTCTCTACTAAAATACAAAAAAAGTAGCCGGGCACGGTGGCACACACCTGTAGTCCCAGCTACTCAGGAGGCTGAGGCAGGGGAATCACTTGAACCTGGGAGGCAGAGGCTGCAGTGAGCGAAATGGCACCACTGCACTACAGCCTGACAACAGAGCGAGACTCTGTTACAGAAAGGAAGGAAAGAAAAAGAAAGAAAAGAAAAAGATGGAAAGAAGGAAGGGAGAAACAGAAAGAAAGGCAGAAAGAAAAAGAGAAGGAGGGGAGAAAGAGAAAGAAGAAAGAAAAAAGGGGAGGGAAGAAAGTAAGAAAAGAAAGAGAGGAAGGAGTGGCTGAGTGGAGCTGAGAAAAGGAGAATTAAGTGGTAAAAATGGGTAAGGGCATCCATAGTTCTTCCCAGAAGAGAAAAGTCTTCTCACCAAACAACATAAACATTTGCTGACTTGGTAGTTTCATCCCTATTTTTATCTCCTTTCTTGAAATTTTTACAAACTACAATAATGCTCTATGATCTTAAACTACTTTGAAATATTTACAGACTACAATACTGATCTACGATCTAGAGTTACACTTTAGTATGATAGCCACGAGTCACACATGGCTACTGACCACTTGAAACATGAGACTCCAATTTGAGATGTGCTGAAAGTATTGAATACACACTGAATTTTGAAGAATTAGTATGAAAAAGAGAATGTGACATAATTCATTAACTGTTTAATATTAATTCCATATTGAAATAATATTTTTATATACTGAGCTAAATAGAATATTATTAAAATTGGTTTGATTTATTTTTGCATTTTAAATGAGGTTACTAGAAAATGTAAAACTACATATAGCTTGCATTATATTTCTAGTGGACAGTGCTGATGTAGAACCTTGGAGCCTTTCTCCTTTAATGACCTCTATCTTGGAGCAGACCTCAATAATCTTCTAATGTGGTCTGGCCCTGCTTACCTTAACTCCCTAGGTCTGCCTTTGCATAGAAGTAGGGTAGTCATTTAAATGTGAAGGAACTTCTGTTGGGTTGCTTAATTTCCATTCTGCTTGGTTAATGTTTTAGAAATTTTGTGCCTAAAGAACTTGTTTTCATATACTGTACTGGAAATATATGTTCATTATCAAAGAATCAGAAAATACTGACAGCAAAAAGAACAAAATAAAAGCACTCACAAAGCCCACTATCCAGAGACAATCACTAATGATATTTTGGCATATATACTTCCTGAAACTTGCAATATGTAAATACATATCAAGGCACACAGACATAAATATTTTAGCAAAATGGGGTCATACTGTATATATTATTTTCTAATCTATTTTTTTACCCAATTAAAAAAAAAGACAAATATCTTCCCATGTCAATAAACATATTCTTCCACATTGTTTGTCATGGTTTTACCCAAAAGTCACCTCAGATATGAGGCCTTCTCTGACCACTCAATTTAAAATTGAAATCTGTATGTGTATATGTACACACACATTCCCCGTCATGATTTGTTTTTCTTTATGGAATTCATCGCCTTCTCATATATTATACAATTAAAAATTTTTCTGTTTCTCTTACTAGAACATAAGCAACATGAGAACAGAGATTTGCATCTGTCTGTTCACTTTACCTCAGGGCCCATAACTGTGCTTAGCACACAGATGATGCTTGAATATTTGCTGCATAAATGGTCAATGAATAAACTACACAGCATTTCATTATGGTGTGTTTTCTGGTTGGGTTTCAGAATAGTTGATTTATTTCTGTATCTCTCCTGTATCTACATTTAAGGGAGATTTTAAAGTCTTCAAAGGTTCTGCTATTAAGTAACAACATAGAATATTTCAATCTATCCATTTGCTAGAAATTGTAACTGTTGCCTAACTTTATCAAGGTGTCATTTGAATAAATAACACTGGTGGAGAACTGTATGGAGGAAACACAATTCATCTGTCCCTTTAGATAGCCCAAAATTCAGTCCTATATAAAACCAAACCATCATGGAGCGGCATATTTGGGCTAAATTGTGATGAGCCTAATAGAATACTTAGGACCTTCTGAATCTCCATTTTTTGTTTCTAGAAGAAACAGAGGTCAAAACTCAACATCATATTTGCTTTTAGATGTCACAGAAGGTGGCATCCACTTTATCAGTCTTCTCAAAAAATCAACAATTTTTTTTTGCCCCTCTTAACTAATAGGTTTTTATAAATTATAAGAGGAATGTGAATTTCATTTTGTACTTTAATTTTCTTTAGCTGCCAAGAAACTCAGAGCTGAATTCACAGCCTAGCTTTAGTATTTAGGAATACTACTTATAGAATGTTTTTCTGTGTATTAATTTTCTTTTTGCTGACATCTTACTGTAATATTTCAATTTTCCCATTACCCCTACTTATTTTTTGTTTTACTTAACTTTGACTTGAAAGTCAACCCTGACTTAAAAATTTTATGTTTTCCTGTGATTTTGTGTGTTATAGTAAGATGTTGCAAATTTTTTTTGCAACTAGGCAAATGTAAATCAATCTTTGTATCTAAAGAACTTGTAAATGTAAATCAATCATTAAATCAATCACACTGCAGTGGAGATAAATGTACCAGCTATCATACTTAATGATATTAACTATTAAGAACATCTAATTCCCTTTCCATAGTGCCATTTCACTAAGCCAGTCTCTGATTTTAATATGGCTTCCCCTGTAGATTTTTGTATAGAGAATAGAAAGGGAATGCTGGATTCCTCTGAACAATTATATTTCTTGCAATTTAACACATAAACCCAAGTACCAATCTATTACATTGGATTACAGAAAGACTAGAAATTCTCACCTGAAATTTTAAATTAGGATCACTATTTCTGTGAGACATTATTTTGATGTGGTCCAAGACTACAGGTAGAGAAGGATGGGCTGAGTATTCCTGGAGATCCCATCCAGTTTATCAGTTTGCATTAAAATGGCTGAAACCAAGTGTCTTACAGGACCAGGAAAGGAAGCAGGGACTCCATTTTTGCCAGATACCCCAAACCTTTTTTTTTTTTTTTTTTTTTTTTGAGATAGAGTCTCCCTCTGTCACCCAGGCTGGAGTGCAGTGGCTCAATCTTGACTCACCGCAATCTCCACCTCCTAGGTTCAAACGATCCTCATGCCGCGACCTCCCGAGAAGCTGGGATTACAGGCACATGCCACCACGCCCGACTAATTTTTGTATTTTTAGTAGAAACAGGGTTTCCCCATGTTGGCCAGGCTGCTCTCGAATGCCAAGCCTCAAATGATCTGCCTACCTTGGGCTCCCAAAGTGTTAGGATTACAGGCGTGAGCCACCACACCAGACCCAGACCTATTTTTATGTCTGAGGTATGCAGCAAAGCACCACAGAGAAATGTTTATTATTATCACACACTTCTGATTAGAGCCGGAACCACAACTGGAGACTTGATTACTATCACACAAAGATTTCTGGTAGGTTTTCTTTGTTTTTCATTTGGTTACTGTTAGTGGCAGTCCCAAAGTACCATATACACATACCCTCCCAAGACTCAGGTTAGAATAGATGGAATTCTTGGCTTTGGCCATTTGGCTGGTGTAGGAGTGGGTGAGGAGGATGGGAGAATGACTCTAATTTTTTAATTATCCCCACACTTTCCCAAATCCCTGTTATTCTAATTCTTGCCTTTAACAAGGTCATGAAGAGATGACTGGATCAATGAAACATCCTGACCCCAGGCTATACAGTGTAGAAGTCACAAACCCTGTTCAGTCCTTCTCATTAAACTTCTGGGCTTTATTTATTTTTTTTAATACGACCATTACATATTACACAAAAATAAAAGTCAAATGAACTTGGTATTTATAAATTATTAAATAAAAATACAGGAATATAGATTTATATTTATAGAGCTTTCTTTTCTTCTAAACTAACCAAATCTCTTCTGCCGTTTTATGATTTTAAAAAAGTAAAATAGTGTATGTGTGCCCTAGAATAAGTGGGGAGTAGGATTAATAATCGCAGGACCAAGTTGCCCTACTTCTGCTCCTTCCTTGGCCTAAGCAAAGTCTCTATTTGTCCCTTTTGGCTCTGGAAAGCAAGAAACCCCTCTCCTCCTACTTAATCTTTGAAAAATGGCAATTACATTTATTTCCCTTATTTTTAAAAAAAATGAAATGGATTTAAAAATTGGGAGCCATACTCAGCCTTCTTGGCCAAGAGCTAATCCCAAGGAACTATATGGCTCTAGAAGAGAGTCCCTAGTTTTCCCTGACAGAAGAGTCTCTGGGGTTTCCCTTCAAGCTAAGAAGGGCAGGACAGGTCAAAATTCCCCTCTGTGGTCCCATCTAAGCTATGCTTCTGGGAATCCAGACCAAGCCATTTACCCTGTCAGAAAACAGCCTCTCTTTCCACCCAGGTGTCAAGGCTTCAGAGCAGGGCATTTCAGTAACCTGGCCATGGTCCCTGCAGCCCCTCTTGGCTAAAGGTCCCCGGGAATGCTAACAGGGATATGCGTCCTGTGGCAAAGGGTAGGGTGAACAGTGTGCTCCAAACCTGGGGAAGGAAGCACAGGCTCCAATTTGGAACCGATGGTCTAGTCAGTGGTTTTCCAACTTTTTTTCAGCAGCAAACCCCTTAATGCAAATAAAATCTTACCCTGAACCCCGATATGTAAGACAGCTACAAGGGGAGCTGTTCTGTTAGAGGGCAAATTGCCCAGCCTGCTCAGCTCCCCACCCCCTTCATCTCCCCAGGGACTCCTGATGCAACCCCTAGGGAATTTCAGGGCTCTGCCAAGCAGTTTGAAAACCACTGGCCTAGTTTGTCCTGAGCAAGTCAGAGACCCCCCCACCCCAACTGCTTGCCACAGGTTGGCTCTGAGTTTCTGGCGTCAGCATACTCACAACAAGACCAAGTGGCACATGCAGCCTACCACCTCCCCTGGAAAAACCATTAAAAAGTGCAGCCCTCTCTCAAAAGCAGAAGTCTGGACTAAACACCTGAGGCCAATTTGGTCCCACATTCTGGCGAGCACAACTACGTTGCCACATTCTAGGACCAAGTGAAAATCTCCAAGAAGAGTCAACCATGGTCTAGCTAAGCTGATCCGTGCTCAGGACCACAGGCAGGGTTCTAGAGCACTGTGTCAGAAAGTCAGCATTGGAGAGCAGCAATCTTAGCACCTTGGAAAGTGCAGCAGTGAGGTCTGGCTCAGGGCATGCATCTGGAGTGAGTAATTTCTTCCTCAAAAGAAAAAGCTATAATCTGAAGCTGTTCTAGAGGACTGCAAGTTCCAAAGTTAACATCCTCAGACTCTGAAGTACAGACAAGTAACACCCATGCAAACAGCGTGGCTTCAAAGAAATCATAAATGCTCCTAGGTCATGGTAGATACTCTAGAACCCATATGCCTGGTCCCTGATAAAGCTGAACCAAAGCCCACAACACAGCATAGGCCAGTCACCCTCACACCCATGGGATTCAGAGCTGAAATGGTCCTCTCAAGGCATCATCAGCAGTCTCACTGAGACACAGTGTGGGACCCAGACTGTATTCTACATCAGCACTTATGTCCACAACCTCAAAAGGAAAATTAGTTAGGGCCCCAACTTAAGAGTTTCAGTTTGAGTACAGAGGTCCCAGAGACTGGAAACACTTTAGGCAGCATTGTGCCTGAGTGGGAGAGGAGGGTGGCAGGCAGGTCCAGCTACCTAAGCCTCCACCCATCCAGGCTCAACAGCCCTGCCCTTTTGTCAGAGCCTGGGAGGCAGCAGCAAGTGCATGATGCACAAAGAAGGGGGATGATGAAAGAACAAGGTCACTGCTCTTCTTGCCAAAGCCTTGCCAATTACTTTCTGGAGAGAAGCAGCAGAGCCCTATGTCTGGATACAATGTTTCTCTCTAAGCCTTGAGGCATCAGGACAACGGCAAGGGAAAGGAGGGGTTGTGGGGGGCAGGGCAGAGAACTGCTCCTAGTTCTTGCCATTGCAAGAGGGAATGTTTTCTCCTTGGGGAATACCACCACCACCAGATTTGCCAGGCAGCCCAGCATGCACAGCAGCATGCGTGCACATGCACACGTGTGTCCAAGCAGCCCATGGTTACAGCCACCTCTCCCTATCGCCCAAGAACCCTCAAGCTTCCATTCCAAAGGGATGTACCTTCTATGTTCCCCAAATTCCACTCATCCAATGGAAACACAACTGCTTATGCAAGTCCACATTCCTCATGGCTACAAACCAAGTTCCAGGTCGTTTCATGTGCCCACACCTATAGGCATGATCCCTCCCACCTCCCCCAGCCCTGGAACGACTCCATCTCCTGCCCCCCTAAACTTGCCAAAACATTCCCCTCCCCTATGTCCTGCTCATTCTTCTAATCGCCTACCTGGCCTACTCAGCTCCCTTACACACTACCCTTCCCCTGCCCATCCCTGTTCCATGCCCACCCATCCACCAACTCCACTTCTTCCAAGGGCATTTCTCTGTTCTGTTCCTGCTCTCCAGACCCCCAGCCACACCTAGCCCCACCTGGCCCTGGACTTTCACTTGCTAGCAAAAAAGGCCCCTACAGTTACCAGGGCCCCCAGTGCCACGGCCCCTGTCAGCACTGTCCTCACTGATGCCCAGTTCCCCTCCCGCAGACGCCGCGCCTCCTCCAGGGCCCCGTCCCCGTATAGAGCTGTGAACTCCGCCTGTGGGAGAGAAGGGAAGTAGGAGAGAAAGAAGGAGAAAGGGATATCAGGAGAGGAAAGAGTGGAGAGAAGAGGAGAGGAAGAGTTCCAGTTCCATTCACTGCGAGCACTACCCCATTCCCAGCTCCTCTCTAGTCAAGGCTCTACTACAAGCCCCTCTGATCCCCCCAGGCATACCCCCACCCTGAGAGACTGGTTCATTTGCCCACTCTGTCTCCAGTGAATTCCATCCTTTCCTTGGCGAAAAATTCTGCTCAGAACTAGCATCCTTTGCCAAGGATTGCCTGACCACCCCCCATCCCTGATCCTCCCCACCTCCCATGCCATGACTCAGATGCAAAAAGTCCCTGACACCATTCCCCTGCAGGCACTCCTTGGGTGCATATTCTGCCCTCTGCTTGGGACCATGAGCCCATCCAGTGTTGACTGCATGGCAGCCCTGGAGTGCAGAGCCCAGGCATCTCTCAGTCTGATTCCACCCAGACGGGGAGCCTCAGCCCCATACCTCATTCCCAACATAGCTGCCTCAGCCTCCAATCAGAGCCCCCATCTTCCCCCTGGAGACCAGCTTTGCAGAGGGATGTGCAGAGCGGCAATTGAGAAGCTTCTTACCCAGCCCCCACTGCTGTGGATCCAGTCGGCCAGCCGCGTCTCCAGGTAGGCCACCATCCACTCCTGCACTTGTCCCACCAGTGGTTCCATCTCCTTGTTGACACTCTCAGCACACAGTGCAGCCCCAAAGACAAAGAAGGCTACAAGGCGGCCCCAGTTGGGACCCCCTTGGAAAAGTTCATCGGAGACCTGGGTGAAGCGTTGTTGGGCTGAACCTGGGGTCACATGCAGCTGAGCCGCCAGATCAGAGAAGGTGCGCCGGAAGCGGGTCTCGAATTCATCTCCAGCTGCCCGCATTGCTTGGTGCAGCGGGTCAGCTGCTGGGCCCTCCCCGGGGCCAGTTCCACAGACATAACCTTTCTGCCTCAGCTTATAACCTACAAAGTCTGCCACCAGAGCCCGTGTGTCTGGGGCGGAGGCTGGGGTCGCCATCCGGGCAGCTATAAGAGGCAAGGATGAAAGACTGGCATTAATATATGGACAGAGAACCAGAAGGAGAATTTCTGGTTTGCCCAACCCAGTGAGATGGGGAGGATGGAGGAAATGCTCAGAGCTCACTAGACAGGGAGAGGCAAGAACAAGGGAATTAAGTTATGATGCGGGACCAGGGTTCGATAGGCTGGCCATTACATCCTAATATGCAAAATTAAATGCAAAACAAGTAAATTTTGTTTAGAACACTTTAGATTCTTTTCATAATAAGACAACGTCAGCTCTGTGACACCCCTACACACCTCCCCCTGCTCAGTCCACACCTTCTTGGCCAGAGGAAGGGGCTTAGGACCTCCCCAAATGCAAGATGTAAAGATGTTGGCAGAGGCACAAGATGAAGGGGAGCAGATGGGCTGAAGAGAAAGGTGGGAGACGCAATGGGTTCCTCCAGACAGAGAAAGGAAGGAGACACTCACCCAGCCGGGATGGCAGCTCTTAAGACACAGCGCTGGTGGCAAGGAGCCCCCAGCTGGGGCCTTTCATCCTCCCAGCCAGCGTGGAGCCCTGAAAAGGGGAGGGGGAGATCAGAACCAGGAGGGGAAGGCCAGGGATCAGGGTCTGGCCTGGGAGGGCTGGGGTTGCAGCTCTGGGCCTGGGCCCCTGCCCCCAACGTTCTACTAGCTGTGTGGCCGAATCCATGTTTAATGACTGTCCTCCTGGGAAACCCAGGGCGAAGGGCTTCCTGCCGACACCATCTCTATTCCCGGTTCCCCCTAGTGCAGCCCAAAGGCCCAGCTCCTCCCTTACCCCCACCTCAGCCAGTCTTCAACCCCGCCCGCCTGCCAGGTTAGGGATCTCACGGGTCAGGCCGCTGCCGGGATCCGGGCCGTTTCCTGGTGCAGGAGCTGGGAGGGAGGGAGAGAGGGAGGAAAGGAGGGAGGGAAGGAGGGAGGAGAAAGGGGGGGCAGAGGGAGGGCCCGGCGCCGGGTGATGATGGGGCCCAGAGATGCGTCCAGAGAGAGGGGCGGGGCTGGGACGCAGGCCTGCGAAGGGCCACTACTCAGGAAGAGGGAGGGCTGCTGAAGGCTAAGAAGGACTGGCTGAGAGGGCACAGTAAGCTGGGCTGGGCTGGGTTCCTGAGCCTCGAGGCTGCCCAGAGAAGTATGCTGGACTTCAGGACATCTCGAGGCAAATTCAGCATTTCCAGGAGGTTTCCGATGTTCCATGCACTTGTTGAACTTCTCCAGCCCTGGATTGTGTGTGCCTGGAAAACAGGAGCAGTTCCCATTAAGCTGAAAACCGCCTGCCAGGTGCCTTACCCTTCTGGGACTAGCAGACACCACACAGACACCAAACCTTTCCCATCCTCTTTTCTCCACGACCTTTAACCCAGTGTTCTGCTTGTGGGCTGGGCTTCAGCCAGGCATCAGGGAGCCAGGACTTGGATCACAAGCGGTTTCTGCTGGTCCTTTTCTTTAATTCTTCATATTCTTTTGTAATAGATTTATTTTACTTTATTTTATTTTATTTTTTACCTAACACATGAACTACTTCTCATGGAAAAAAAAAATCAAATAAAGAGGTACGGAGTAATAAAATGCAGGTTCACTCACACACACACACACACACACACACCATTCCACTTCCCTCCCTGCAGGTTGCCAGTGTTAAACTTGATGTTTATCTTTCCAGATTACACATATATTCGGCCATTATTTATACATGGCAGTATATTTATATGGGGCAGACCACAAGGCGTTAAGCAGTCTAACCACAGCTGATCCACATGAGGGCACTCACAGCCAGCCCCCTGGGCTCTTGGATCTGGCATTTCCTCCATTTAAACATCACCCCAAACAAAGGCCAGAAAGAGGAGATCCAATTCTCTTTTTCTGCTAGTTCCCTTTGCTTCTACCTCCAATCCAAGCCTTGGTATTACCAACTGCCCTTATGGTCACTAGAGAAGCAAGGTCTTTTCTGCAGCAATAATAGTAACAACTAGCTGGGTTTGGTGGCTCATTCCTATAATCCCAACACTTTGGGAGGCTGAGGCAGGCAGATCACTTGAGGCCATGAGTTCCATTCCAGCCTGACCAACATGGCAAAACCCCATCTCTATTAAAAATACAAAAATTAGCCAGGTGTGGTGGTGCACACCTGTAATCCCAGCTGCTCAGGAGGCTGAGGCACAAGAATCACTTGAACCCAGGAGGCAGAGGTGGCAGTCAGCTGAGGTCATGCCATTGCACTCCAGACTGGGTGACATGAGACTCTGTCTTAGAAATGGTAAAAACCAACATATTTTGAAGAGTTATTAGGTGCAAAGTGCTTTTTTTCTACTCTGAGATTCCCTTTTAACACTCTGAGGATGGTAACTTCCACCGTATGGGCTCAAGCAATATACTTTATCTTCTCACCAATTCTTTTGCATTTTTATCCTCCTTCTATGAATGAGAAAACTGAGGTTTGGAGAGATTAAGTGATTTACCCAAAGCCATATACTGATATGTAAAGAAGCTAGGACTCCCATCTCATTCTGTAACTTTGACACTATTGCTTCAAGATCACCTCTTCCCTTCACATAGTCGATATTGTTCTCATAGTCTGAATCCACACCATTTACAAGTCCACACTCAATTCTCTCCTCTATTCTAAACACACAGCCTATTACACTCCTTTATGGCTGTATCCTTTCAATCATCCTCATTTCTTTTTTACTCTTAGCCTGATCATTCTGGCTGCCACCAGCAAGGTTGCCCCCTTCTTTAGAGAATAACCTAGTCCAAATCTTCATATGCACTCCTGATTTGTTGGCTGGTTTGTGAAACAAGGGTCTCACTCTATGGCCTAAACTGGAGTGCAGTGGTACAATCACAGCTCAATTCCACTTCCACTGTCTGGGCTCAAGCAATCTTCCCACCTCAGCCTCCCCAGTAGCTGGGACTAGAGATGTGCTCCACCATGCTTGGCTAATTTTTCATTTTTTATAAAGATGGGGATCTCATTATATTGCCCAGGCTGCTCTTGAACTCCTGAGCCAGCTTGATTGTAATATAAATTAATGTATGATTATTTTATATCCTAAAATATGAAAAGAATACATCCATGCATTCTATATATGTATAAAATTTTTAAAAGTCAATATTGCTTTAAAAATGAGTCCTAAATAGTATTGCTACAGTCAATACTAGTATGAATGCATGCAAACAGAACTTAATTGTACAATAACAAGACGGCATGTGTCTCATGGTTTATTTTCAACTTAGTCACTTGTGGTTTTACGGTTAAACTATCCTGCTGCTTTAAATGTAGAGACTTTATTTCTACTCTAAGATTCCCCCTTTTAACACTCTGAGGATATTAACTATTATTGTTAAATGTCTTACTCTTATATAACCAAGTGGATAAGAGCATGGACTCTAGAGCTGAACTGTTTAGGTCCTAATCCCACCTCCCCAGTTATTAACTATGTGACCCTGGGCAAGAGTCCTCTCCCCTCTCTCCCTCACTTTTCTCATCTTTACACTAGGCATAATAGTCTTTATTCCTCTGAGGGTTGTATTACATGAGTTAGTATTTGTAAAACCCTTAAAACAGTACCTAGCACATTTTAAGTGCTATATAAGATCAGTAGGAAAGTTAGAAAAAAACTAAAAACACTTCACTTTTTTTTTCACTAATGTAAAAAAAAAAAAAAATGAAAGGGGAAAAAGCCAGCTCTGCCCTTCTTGGAAGCGCCCACTGGACCTAGAACTCCACATTCCCAACTCCAAGAGAGTTGTTGAGTGCTCGTTCATTCAATAATTTGAGTGCCTACCGTATACTAAAACTCATCATTAATCAGACAAAGCCCCTGCCCTCAAAGGGCTTACATTGGGTTAGAATTCAGAACTCTACCACTTTTTTACAGAAGAGAACACTGAATTCAGAGTATGGCATGATGGCTTTCATCTGTAATCCCAGCACTTTGGAAGGCTGAAGCAGGCATATCACCTGATATCAGGAGTTAGAGACCAGCCTGGCCAACATGGTGAAACCCCTTGTCTACAAAAACACAAAAATTAGCCAGGCATGGTGGCGGGCACCTGTAATCCCAGCTACTCAGGAGGTTGAAGGAGAATCACTTGAACCCAGGAGGCGGAAGTTGCAGTGAGCCAAGATCACGCCATTGAACTCCAGCCTTGGTGACAGAGCGAGACTCTGACACACACACACACACACGGCGGGGGGGGGGGGGGAGAGAGAGAAATTGGAAACACTGAATCCAGAGAAGTTATGCCTCGCTTACTCAAGGTTACACAGCTAAATAGCAGGAGACCTTGGACAGTTCTTAGTTAGGGTGCCACATTCTCACCTCCTATTTGAAAGACTCTACCTAGCTTTCGTGACCTTTCCTTCTTTGCACCCACCGCCACCCCCTGCCCAAACCAGGAGACTAGGTTTCAGAAAAGAAAACGGTGAACCCCGAAGACAAAGTCACATGCTGGGCATTTTTAACCTTCTGCTGCAAGAAAATGAAAGGTTACTTTTTCTTCCCGGCGTTAACCTTTCCTGTGCTGTGCGGGAAAGGTTGAGGACTTTTTAAATTTTTAACATTATTATTATTGTTGTTGTTGTTGAGATTGGGGGGGGGTGTCACACTATGTCGCCCAGGCTGGTCTTGAACTCCTGGCTTCAAGCGATCCTCCTACGTCGGCCTCCCAAAGTGCTGGGATTCGAGGTGTGAGCCACCGCGTCCGGCCCGTGGATGTTTTTTAAAAAGGCTGAGTGGCCTCACTTGGGACCGAAAAGGTGAAGTCCACGCCCCCTGGTGCATCAGCGAAGACAAGCGGAGCCACCTGTCAGAGGGCTGTGGGCGGGGGCCGGGGCCGTGAGGGCCTTGGAGCCGGAGGGTGAGCGCCGTTGAGCGCACGCTCAGAGCAGACCGCTCGCAGGAGGCAGGATGTGATAGTCTTAAGACCCTGGAAGCTGACTGCCAGAGGGAGAGAAAGGTGGTCACAGAGGAGAGGCAAAGCAACCGGAGGTAGAGGATCCTGGAGGTGATTGCTAGGAGAGTACACAGCGGCGAGGGGCTGCAGAAGCGGACCCGGCGACTTCTGCGCCGACGCGGGGCGGGCGGGAGAGAGGAGGAGAGGGCAGCGCAGTGGCGCTGCGGGCTGGCCCAGTCGGGGAGGGGCTGCCATGTCCCGTGAGCGACCCCCCAGCACTGACATCCCCCGCAACCTGAGCTTTATTGCCGCGCTAACGGAGCGCGCCTACTACCGTAGCCAGCGGCCCAGCCTCGAGGAGGAGTCGGAGGAGGAGCCAGGCGAGGGAGGGACGCGGTTCGGGGCCCGATCCCGCGCTCACGCACCGAGTCGGGGCCGCCGGGCCCGCTCTGCACCAGCCGGAGGCGGCGGGGCTCGGGCGCCCCGCAGCCGCAGCCCAAACACCCGCAAGAGAGTGCGTTTCGCCGACGCACTGGGGTTGGAGCTGGCCGCCGTGCGCCGCTTCCGTCCCGGGGAGCTGCCCCGGGTGCCCCGCCACGTGCAGATCCAACTGCAGAGGGACGCCCTCCGCCACTTCGCGCCCTGCCAGCCCCGCGCCCGCGGCCTCCAGGTAGGCGGCGGGGGCACCTCCCCTCCTGGGGACCTCCCCAAGTCGGCAGCAGCGGGCATGTGGGAGTGGATTTGCCAAGGAGCACCCATCTCCATCCCATCCCTGGGCTTGCGCCTGCCCATCCCTTTTTGGGTCCCCCATACGCGAGTGGCTTTAGGCCACCCTGGCAGCTGGGCCGCAGTGTGCCGGCCCGGACGCCGGGGTCGGCCTCTGATTGGCCCAGTGCCTCGCTCTGACACCGCCCCTGTCTCTCCCCTCTCTCCGCCCCGGGCTCCCTCCTCCCGCTTCTTCTTTCTCCCAGGAGGCGCGCGCCGCCCTGGAGCCGGCCAGCGAGCCCGGCTTCGCCGCCCGCTTGCAGGCGCAGCGCATCTGCCTGGAACGCGCCGAGGCGGGCCCGCTGGGCGTGGCCGGGAGCGCGCGCGTGCTGGACCTGGCCTACGAGAAGCGCGTGAGCGTGCGCTGGAGCGCCGACGGCTGGCGGAGCCAACGCGAGGCCCCCGCCGCCTACGCCGGCCCGGCCCCGCCCCCGCCGCGCGCCGACCGCTTCGCCTTCCGTCTGCCCGCGCCACCGATTGGGGGCGCTCTGCTCTTCGCCTTGCGCTACCGTGTGACAGGTCACGAGTTCTGGGACAACAACGGCGGCCGTGACTATGCTCTTCGAGGGCCCGAGCACCCTGGCAGTGGCGGAGCCCCGGAGCCCCAGGGCTGGATCCACTTTATCTGACACGAGGCACCTGCGGCCTACGGCGGAAAACCCCAAAGGCACCCGGGGGCGGGGGGAGGAATAGGAGAGACTAGGATTGGCGGGGAGGACGAGGAGGGTGGGGAAATCAGGGGCGTGGGGAGGTTGGGGTGGGACGAATCAACGAAGCTCCGGGAGGGAGATCGGGTTGTTGAAAGCTGGTCGGATGTGAGCAGAAGGAACCCAGGGTATAGGAGGAAGTAGACCCTACACGGCACCGAAGGGATTAGGCAAAAGGAAAAGAACGGGGATGATGGTGGCTTTCCCCTCAGTGAGTGGGCACTGGGAGAAGGGGAGGAGGTCCATCAGGCCTAGGCAGTTGAAGAAGGTTAAGAACCTTTTGGGGATGGAGGAGGTATGATGTAAAGTAGCCCACCCAGTCGAAGTCATTTAGATTGCTGGCACATTCCCTCTTCTTACCCGCCTTTTCCACCTCAGGACCCCTTGTCCTGCCCATCCTAGCTTTAACTCAGCCATAATTGCCTTACTTAATCCCAGGAACCTGGCCATTGCTCCTGGGTCTTTGGCATTATGACGGGAATCCCTTGTCACCTCTGACAGTTCCTGGCTGCAGTGTCCGTGGACTGGCTGAGGAGTGATGACAGGTAGCCGTCAGAGCTCCAGCCTCCAGGCAGCTTTAGGGATTAAAATGGAGGCCAACTCCAGATCTGTTCTTATAGCCAAATACTGAGGTGCCTAAGGAGTTGGTACACTCAGGGGCTTCCAGGAAAATGCCAGCCTTACTTTTCTGGGGAGCCTTTTAATAACCTCCAAGCATTTTATGGACTGTTTGTCGAGGGACAGTGAATCAGGAGAATCACTATTCCGATTTCTTTTGCCTCTGAAGAGGAAGTCCCTGACTAGCTATATAACTTTGGGCAAGTTACTTCATCTCTTTGTGCCCCAGTTTTTTCCTTGGGAAATTGAATTTAGGTTAGATGATCTTTGAAGGCCCCCTGTATGCTATGTTGTGATCTGTACATGGCAGAGAATAGATTAGACGCCCCATTTTCCAACCTAGTGCTATGGTTCAGAACACAGAGCACCCCAAGCGTTTGGTTGAAGTCGAGGATGGGTCCTCTGGTTTTTGACACAGATGTTTGAGAGTCCAGGAAGCATCCCATAACCAACCTGCAGCCTCACCTCACCCCAGCATATTCCAGAGCCCCTTCCAAACCACAGCTCATCCTCTGCTCCATTTTGCTCTGGCCCTCACAGACTTCTAGCCTCCATGATCTGAGACAACTATGTTTAGGTACATCTCTGTTGGTGAAAATGATGCTTGAGAACCCCAAAGATTAAAGGAAATAATGTCAAGGTCTTTTGTGGGGATAAAAGATAATGGGTATATGGAATAGAAACATTTCAAATGAATCAAAGCATTTCAGTCAATCCACTTGGTTGTTAAAAAAAAAAAAAGGCCAGGCACAGTGGCTCACACATGTAATCCCAGCACTTTGGGAGACTGAGGCGGGCAAATCGCCCAAGGTTGGGAGTTCCAGACCAGCTTGACCAACATGGAGAAACTCTGTCTCTATTAAAAATACAAAACAATTAGCCAGGCACGGTGGCACATGCCTGTAATCCCAGCTACTTGGGAGGCTGAGGCAGGAGAATCACTTGAACCCAGGAGGCAGAGGTTGCAGTGAGCCAAGATTGCACCATTGCACTCCAGACTGGGCAACAAAAGTGAAACTGTCTCAAAAAAAAAGCATCAAAGCAACTTGATAGTAAATGGTACCAAAAGATGGTCTGCTCCATAACCAGAGCAAGTGCAGTGGGAAAGCTGGACTCTCATACCCACTCACATTCATGCCTTATACCTCTCCTCCTGGCTAACCTTAACAAGGGAGTGATTCCTCTCCTCATTGCTGTTTTTCCTTTTCTCTTACCCTATTCCTAACCTCTTTGCTTTTCTCTTTCTTTCCTTGTCTCTCTCCCTTCTCATCACTTTTTTTCTTTTAACATATAGGGCATTTACCTTACTTTTGTCTATTTCCATTTGTTTCCGTCTTCATTCTTGTTCATCTCTGCTATTCCTTCTCCCGCCAGAAGGGATGGAAACCCTATTTGCTTTTCTCCAAGACCGTGGTTGGTCTACTTTCCTCACTCAGGCTCCTTGACAGTCTTCTAGAAGAGAGAAGAAGGAAAAGAAGCAGTTCCTGATGTTACAAATGAACGAGGATCTCCCAGGTAACCAGCTCCCCACACCCATTTCTGTTATTGATTTCTCAGAGAAATTTCTGGTTCCCCCTCTTCCTTATCACTGAGTGAAGGGGGATGGGCATGCTCATGTGCCCATACATGCATTCAGAATAGAGTGTGAGGCAGGCTGGGCTGGCTCACACCTGTAATCCCAGCACTTTGGGAGTCCAAGGCAGGCAGATCATTTGAGGTCAGGATTTAAGACCAGCCTGGCCAATATAGTGAGACCCCGTCTTTACTAAAAATACAAAAGTTAGCCAGGTGTGGTGACTCATGCCTATAATCCCAGCTACTCAGGAGGCTGAGACAGGAGAATCACTTGAACCCGGAAGGCTGAGGTTACAATGAACGGAGATCGGGCCGCACTCCAGCGTGGGTAACAGAGTGTGAGTCTCTGTCTCAAAAAAAAAAAAAAAGAATAGAGTATGGGGCCTGTTACCATGCCCCTCCTGTCCACAGTCTTAGCCTTTGAGAAAAGATGGCTGAAAGAGAGGAGTCCCCAGGTCATTCCTCAAACAAATCTCCATCTAAACATCATCTTTATCTTGTGAAGAAAACAAGAAGAATTTCATGTACCATGTGAATCACCTTCAGTTCAAAGTTGCGCAAAATGAAGAAACCACTGGAAGCCACCAAGCAATGCACTGTTGAGTCATCAATTAGGAGCCCACAGGAGGATAATAGAGAGGGAGACTGGGTGGAGGCTCAGTGTGGAGTCATCTCTTGTCTAATGTATGTGTGTCACTGCCATGTTGTATTAATAATGAGAGCTCACATTTACTTAGCACTTCTGTGCCTAAATCTGGGTTTTTCTTTCCAGAACAATGACTTGATCATACAATCTGTTTTGTTTGTATGCATGTCCAAAACCACCCTATGAGTAGAATATTATCATTATCTCTGATTTAGAGATGAGGAAAAAGGCTCAGGGAAGCTCAGTAATTTGTTCAAGATTGCACAGCTAGTTAAATGGCAGAAGTAGGATTGTGAACCCAGGAAATCTCCAGAGCTTCTGTGTAACCATGATATTATATATTTTTCCTATTTAAAAGCAATATTGAAAACCTTGCTCTATATTATTTCTTATTAGGAAAAGACCATAGTTTCTGATTGTCCTCTGCCTTCCCATCCTGCCAGTCTCCTGGACTGGCTTGGAGAAGACAGGGGGGGTCCCAAGCTTCATCTGTGTGGCTCGAAGGAGTTTGCTGCTGTCTCCTGTGCCAGTGTCCCATCTCTGCAGGATCAGTACAGGACACCCCTCGCCTGCCTGCTTACACTGCAGCCTTGCCATACATTGGAATTCTCTCTTGGCCCGAGCCAACACTCCACACCTATTGGTGTGCCACCTCCCTCCCTCTTCCCCCACTGGCGTTGAACAGACAAACCCCTCTAATGTTTCCACTAGGTTGGGTCCATGACTAGAACACCTGCTAGATGGTCTGTGCGTGGGCCTTTTCTGGGAATCCTGATGTTACTGGGTAAATGCCAACTCTGACTGTGGGCAGAAATTCCTTAAGCTCTTTTTCAGAAGTACCCTGGCTCACTCCCCCAATCTCGGCTTTATAGAACAACATTTTGGTCTTGATTCTTCCCATATCAAGCTGCCCCTGGGTTTGGGTAAGCTGTTAGTTTCCCCGACTGCCTCAAGGCTGGGTCTTGCTGAGCTACCTTCCTGTGCACACAAATAACAGGTTTCTCCATGGAACCTGATTTACGTAACTATCGGTGCCACCAAGCCTTGTAAAATAGGAAAGAAACTAATATTTCTTGAGTGACATCTGAGTGCCTGGTTCTTTTAAGGCTGTCTGGAGAGATTCCCTCTCTGATACCATTGCTGTGTACTCCTCTCGCAGGACTTCAGCAGTGAGATTCTCCCGACCCCCTGGCTTTTCCTCACCTTGGGTTGAGGCAGTGCAGCATTACCGCAAAACCCACCATCTGCAAATCAACCAAGATTCAGCAGTATGCCCTTTCCATCTTGCACTACTATTTCCAAAACTTCCACCTGTATTTCCCACAGCCCCAGTAAGCAAAGCAGAGTGTGCCTGGACACAGAGGCATCCACTGCTTTCTCCCAGCAGGTGCTGTCTCATCTGACACTGGGACACTAGGAGTTTAGCAGAATCTTCAGCCACCCTATTTGTGTTATGCATTAGGCGTTATGGTAGAAACTCCTCTGACAGCTCATGACTAATGAACAGGAGCAATTTGAAATGTGTCAGCCATGGACTGGGGAGTGCCGTAAGAGAAAACACTACCATGGTCAGAGGCTTGGGTCTTTGAGGCAACCCAGCAGAAATACTGTGGCCCATTCCTCTCATCCAGACTGCAGATACCTTCCTACACCTACCTGCCCCATAGCCTCCTTCGTGTTCCTTTGTTTTTCTTTGTGAATTTAGAAAAACATTTTATTATGAGCCCCAACTCCTCAGTTTTCCATCTAGCACCCACATTCCCTTGTTTCTAACTCCTGTGTTTTTCTGGAACCTGTTTGGATCTTTGCAGTTTGCAGGTCATAGAATCAGACCTGTAAAGGCTTCTCTTTAGAGATCATTGGGTCCAGGCTCCTTTACAGATGAAAACACAGGTCTAAAGGTGAGAAATGACTCTAGTAGGGTCATAGAATTTGTTAGTACAGCTCAAAATGGGGCTTAAACCTGGGCCTTCTGATCACATCCCATTCCCAGGCTAAGAAATGGGTGTCTGCTGGCTGTGGTGGTTCACACCTGTAATCACAACACTTTGGGAGGCTGGCTGAGGCAGGATCATTGCTTGAGCCTGGGAGTTTAAGACCAGCCTGAGCGACATAGTGAGACCTTGTCTCTACAAAAATTTTAAAAATTAGCTGGACATGGTGGCACGGGTCTGTAGTCCCAGCTACTCAGGAATCTGAGGTAGGAGGATCACTTGAGCCCAGGAGTTGGAGGTTACTGAGCTATGATCACATCGCTACACTCCAGCCTGGGTGACAGTTAGACAGACCCTCAATTAAAAAAAAAAAGAGAGAAAGAGGTCTCTACACAAACCAGTGATTTTTCACAGCAAGGGATAACATCAGAAATGTTTCATTTTCTGCTGTTAGTTTCCATTCCTTTCCCCACCTAGGTGTAAAGAGAAACAAAAGGCAATGACAGTATTCTCTGTGTCCCCAGCTTTGGCACTTTTGTTGATGTTGCTATAGAGCAGTGACTTTGCTAGAAAGACTGAATAATCCACCCATTGAATAGCTAACCTGGGGAGGAAATGAAAGTTTCCTATGTGAATCTCCCCAAAACCATTGTCACCAGGCCCTCCCAGAACCTCCCCAGTTCCTTCCAGTGCAACCCTGTGCACTTGGCCCTCAACCCAATATTGTATTGTGCCTCACTTCACCTTCCATGGGCAGCTGCCCTCCCTCCTGAACATAAAACCTCATATTTTAAATAAAGTTGAAATATGAAAAGAAAGTATGTCATTAGACATTCAGAAGTATTGTTTGTTTGGGGCTAAGGGTAGCAAGAGACTGAGAGGCAAGATTCCCTCCTTGACTCTCTATCTCTTGGTCATCTTTTTTCTTTTTGTATGTGTGTCCAGAAAAATTTAATAGGTTTGCTTATAATTATTATAAAGTTGAACCACTGATTCACTGAAACATTTTGACTTGCATTGATGTTTTTAATGTAATGAACTTGACATCCCCACCCACATTCATATTAAGAATTCACACACAAATGAAAATTGAAAAACTGACAACACCTGACTTCTGTCCCCTACTTTTCTGCTCACAGTCATATACGTAGGTACCTTTTGACCCCCATGGGGAAAGAACTACCAATGACAGGAAGCAGAGACTTTTTTTCTCTTTTGGGAATGAATGTTTCACCCTTCATTGTGGATTCTTAAGCGTGTTCTCTACGCATGCGGAGTGCTAGCTGCACGTCTTTTGACATAGGTATTACATGTTTGGGATGGACAACACACAGGTTGGTGTCTTCAAAAAGGCCAACCAGATAGGCCTTGCTTGCCTTCTGCAAAGCATCAATAGCTGCACTCTGGAGGAGCAGATCTGTTTTAAAGTCCTGAGCAATTTCTCACACGAGATGCTCGAAGGGAAGTTTGTGAATCAGTTCAGTAGATGTCTGATAATGTCTAATTTCATGGAGTGCTGCAGTACCAGGCCTGTAATGACTATGTTTCTTCAACCCTCCAGTAGAGGGTGCACTCTTATGAGCAGGCTTTTTTATTATTTTTCTTTTTCTTTTTCGCTCCTCCCCTTCTTGTTAGTTTTTTGTTTTATTTTGTTTTTCCTGAGAGGCTTGCTTGCTCTGTCGCCCAAGCCGGAGTGCAGTGGCGCGATCTTGGCTCACTGCAACCTCTGCCTCCCAGGTTCAAGCCATTCTCCCTGCCTCAGCTCCCTACCCCCCTACCCCCCGCCCCTTCAGTATCTGGGACTACAGGCGCACATCATCACACCCAGCTAATTTTTGTATTTTTAGTAGAGATGGGTTTCACTATGTTGACCAGGCTGGTCTTGAACTCCTGACCTCAGGTGATCCACCTGCCTCAGCCTCCCAGAGTGCTAGGATTACAGCCATGAGCCACCAGGCCTGGCCAATTTGTGTGGGTTTTGTTGTCGTTGTTGCTGTTGTTTGAGATGGAGTCTTGTTCTTTTGCCCAGGCTGGAGTGTAGTGCCACGATCTTGGCCCACTGCAACCTCTGCCTCCCGGATCAAACAATTCTCCTGCCTCAGCCTCCTGAATAGTTGGAATTACAGGTGCGTGCCACCATGCCTGACTAATTTTTGTATTTTTAGTAGAGTTGGTGTTTCATCATGTTGGCCAGGCTAGTTTCAAACTCCTGACCTCAGATGATCCACCCGTCTCAGCCTCCCAAAGTGCTGGGATTACAGGCATGAGCCACTGCGCCGAGCCCCCAATTTTTTGTATTTTTTTTAGCAGAGTTTTTGCCATATTGGGTTTTGCCATGTCAGGCAGGCTGCTGCTTTTGCCATGTTGGGCAGGCTGGTGTCCAACTCCTGACCTCAAGCGATCTGCCCTCCTTGGCCTCCCAAAGTACTGGAATTACAGGCATGAGCCACCTCATCTGGCTGAAGCAGCTTTTGTAGCCAGTTGCTTCCTGGGTGCTTTACCACCAGTTTGTGAGCAATCTGCTTTGTGTGAGACTGTGAGAGAGAACACCTTACTTACTACCCTTCTTTTGCTAGCTAGAGTTCTGGGAGCTGGAGGTGGTGCTGGTTAGAGAGCTACCTTATTTCTTAAAAGCCCTATTCTCTTTCTGCTGGAATCCCCTCTGGCTGTGCAAAACGCTGAGGGGAAGGAGCTTTGGAGGACTTAGGCAGCCTTGGTGTAAGACACTCCCAACAGGATCCTATCATCATTTTGGGTAGTGCAAAATTCACCAGGGCACAGCTCTTCTCTGGCGCCCAGCACCAACTGCTTTAACCAACAGTTAAAGGGAAGAACTTGAGAAAAGCCCTGCGTTCTCCTTGGATGGGGGAATCCTTCCTTAAGGAGGCCATCTGAGTTACATTCTGCTCCTTAAGTGCTGGGTGGAAGAGCAAAGCGCTTATCAAATGCAAACCCCTAAGGCAAAGGAGAAATATGGAAAGGAAAAGCGAAGACCTCTGTCTAATTCAGAATGGAGTGATTATAAAAGAAAGGAGTCAGCTGGGTGCAGTGGCCTGTAAATCCCAGCACTTTGGGAGGCTGGGGCAGGTGGATCAGGAGGTCAGGAGTTAGAGACCAGCCTAGCCAATATGGTGAAACCCTGTCTCTACTCAAAATACAAAAATTAGCCGGGCATGGTGGCATGCACCTGTATTCCCTGCTACTTGGGAGGCTAAGGCAGGAGAATTGCTTGAACCCGGGAGGCGGAGGTTGCAGTGAGCTGAGATCACACCACTGCACTCCAGCCAGGGTGACAGAGTGAGACTCCACCTCAAAAAAAAAAAAAGGAAGGAGTCGTTGAAAAAGATTAAGTTCTAACAGGATTGACTTTCATCACTTGAATGATGAAAGAATCCAATTACCTGCAAAGTAATTAGAATGTTCCTAATAGGGAAGCCCTAGCCTGAGAATAACAGATGCCTCCTCATTACATCACAATGGCCAAGTTGTGATGTCAATACAGAGCACCCACTCTTCAGTAAGTGTTGTAAGTGAAGCCAGATATGCTGAAGAGCAGAATCAGCATGAGGAGCAGACACCCCAGGAGAGGTAAGTGGGTTCTCTCCATGGCTTATTGCCCAGAATCTCTGTGGCCCCAACCTCATTGCAGACTTCTCACATCTTAATTTGGGGTTAGGTATATCTGAATTTTTTCCAAAAACTTTGAATGCAGCATTTGCTTTCCCAATTCTATCCCAAATCCTCAATCATTGCAGTTCTTACTGTTAGCCCTCCAATTCTGGTATTTCTTAGGAAACAGAGCACTGGGGGATAATTTCTCCAAATGGCATAGAAACTCAGCACATCCATTTGGTTAGTCCCAGGGGTAGATCCAAGTTTTTGGATGCCTGAAGAATGCAACTTTTGGAGCCCCTTTTAAGAAAAATAAATACAAAATTGGGGGGGGGGAATGAATATCTGTTTTAGAATGAGAAAAGCTGTCAACAAATTTTTTTTTAAGCTGTCAACAATTCTCTACCCAACAACCTATATATTTATCTACAATTTTTTTAAAGCTGCATGCTCTTTGATAGACTTTTCTATGTTTTCCTAAAGAGAAAAGTAATTCAGTCTTCCAGAAAGATTGATCATATTTCAAAAATCCCTCCCCCTCTTTTTTTGAGACAGGATCTCACTCTGTCACCTAGGTTGAAGTGCATCAGTTAGACCATGACTCACTGGAAGCTTGACCTCCCCAGGCTCAGGTGATCCTCCCACTTCAGCTCCCCAAGTAGCTGGGACTATAGGCACACCACCACATCTGGCTAATTCTTTATATTTTTTTGTTCCCCAGGTTGGTCTTGAACTCATGGCCTCAAAGGATCCACCCACCTTGGCCTCCCAAAGTGCTGGTATTACAGGTGTGAGTCACTGTGCCTGGATCCTAAAGACCTCATTTTAACACAGTTACCTCTTTTATCTCCAAACACAGTTACATTCTGAAGAACTAGGGGTTAAGACTTTAACATGAATTTTTTGGGGGATAGAGTTCAGTTCATTATGTTATACCTACATGGGGATAATTAATTCACAAAAGTAATAACAAAACACTTAAGTATACCTACTAAACCCACACAAAATGTATTCCTGCCAGGCACAGTGGCTCATGCCTGTAAACCCAACACTTTGGCTGGCCAAGGTGGGTGGATTGCTTGAGCCCAAGAATTCAAGACCAACCTGGGGAATAAAAATATATAAAAAATTATCCAGGTGTGTGGTGTGCCTGTAGTCCCAGCTGCTTGGGGAGCTGAAGTGGGAGGATCACCTGAGCCTGGGGAGGTCAAGACTCCAGTGAGCCATGGTCCAACCAATGCACTTCAACCTGGGTGACAGAGCGAGACCCTATCTCAAAAAAAACCAAAATGTGGCCAGGTGCAGTGTCTCATGCCTGTAATCCCAGCACTTTGGAAGGCCAAGGTGGGCGGATCATGAGGTCAGGAGTTCGAGACCAGCCTGGCCAACATGATGAAACCCTGTCTCTACTAAAAATACAAAAATTAGCTGGGCATGGTGATGCATGCCTATAATCCCAGCTACTCGGGAGTCTGAGGCAGGAGAATTGCCTGAACCGGGACCTGGAAGGCAGAGGTTGCAGTGAGCCAAGGTCAAGCCACTGCATTCCAGCCTGGGCTACAGAGCAAGACTCTGTTCTCCAAAAACAACAACAAAAAACAAAAAAGCACACACACACACACACAAAACCCTCCACCAAAATGTATTCCCAACTCCTTTAGCCAATCCGAAAATGTCCACTGCCACCTAACAAAAGGAGACATGTGATGGAGGGGAAATCAAAGCAAAGAGAGCTCAATTTTTTTTTTTTTTTTGGCCTTAAAAAACTTTTTCTTTTTTTTTTATTTCAATAGTTTTGGGGAACAGGTGGTGTTTGGTTACATGGATAAGTTCTTTTTTTTTTTTTTTTTTTTTTTTTTTGGCGCAGGGGCAGATGGAGTTTTACCCTTGTTGCCCAGGCTGGAGTGCAATGGTGCAATCTCGGTTCACTGTAACCTCGGCCTCCTGGATTCAAGCAATTCTCCGGCCTCAGCCTCAGCCAATTTCTCCATGTTGGTCAGGCTGGTCTCGAACCCCCAACCTCAGGTTATCCACCCACCTCAGCCTCCCAAAGTGCTGGGATTACAGGCATGAGCCACCACACCCAGCCATGGATAAATTCTTTAGTTCTTTATTGGTGATTTCTGAGATTTTGGTACACTCATCAGCTGAGCAATTTTCACTGTATCCAGTGTGTAGTCTTTTATCCCTCATCACCCTCCCACTCTCCTCCTGGCCCCGTCCCCAAAATCTATTGTATCATTCTTGCACTTTTATGTTCTCAAATAACTGCTAGGCTTGTTTGTTAAACAATCCAATAGTAAAGGTAAACATCTTACCAGAAATGTCTGAGAAGAATAATTTTGTTACTATCTTTAAAAGTGTGAAAGCAACTAGAGGAGGAAAAAAATACATTAAACTTTAGCTCAATTAAGTTTAAGGTTACAGTCAAGACATGGGAAATTATTAATATACTGGGTTTTTCTACTGACTTCTACATCTATTTAATTGCAGAATAAAAAATGAAGATTCAAAATTTTCTTTTTTAAAAAATTTTACTTTAAGTTGTGGGATATGTGTGCAGAACATGCAGGTTGGTTACATAGGTATACATGTGCCATGGTGGTTTGCTGCCCCTTCAACCCGTTATCTAGGCAACCTCAGTCTTAACCAATTACCATTTAAATATATGTTTTCAAACTTTCCAAAAGCCTGTGATCATGTTAACACATTGCTGGGGCTCTTTCCATGCCTTGGATGAGGTCTGTGCAGGGAAGGGCTCTGAAACTTGAGATTCCTTAACTATAGAACAGGGGCGTCCAATTTTTTGGCTTCCCTGGGGCCACACTGGAAGAACTGTCTTGGGCCTCATATGAAATACACTAACACTAATGATAGCTAATAAACTTTTAAAAAATCTCATAATGTTTAAAGAAAGTTTACCAATTTGTGTTGGGCCGCATTCAGAGCTCAGCCATCCCTGGCCACATGCATGTTGAACAAGCTTGCTATAGAGTATAATGTTAGCTCTGCTAATGGAAAGGAAAGAAAGCTTTTACTAGCGATGGAGCATTAACATCTCTACAATGAGGATGACTGGAGTCCCAGTTCTTTAGCGGTGGTCCCTGGAAGAGCTGGAGTAGGTTAATGTCTTGCTAAATGTGGGACCCTTATCAGCCTGGACATCTCCCTCCCCTTCACTTCCCCACCACAGTCCATTCCATCCAAAGCTATGGGGAGAAATCCATGTAGAAAGAGGAGCTTCCGCCTGCAGTCTAAAACTGAGGCAGAAGAGTTTGTTTTCCCTTTCTTGGATTCCCCTTGTTCCTAAATCTGTCTTTGATTCTGCCCCCCACTCCTGACTCTTGGCAGTGTCTTTCTGAGACGAGAAAGGTGACTGGGCCATCCACCTTTTATAATTCCAAGCCCATGATCAGTGACATTCAGAGTGACTCATTGAACTCTCCAGGGTCAGGTGTTTGGTTCCTGACAGTTCTTACCTGGCTTTCTAGCCAGACAAGCATGAATTCCTCTCAGTCAATGCAGTCTCATTAACTGTTGGGATTATGAGGGAATAACCTGTCCACTGGTAACAGAGTTGCTGCTGCTGCCTAAAATGTTTCATTTTTCCCTTCATTGCCACAAACCAATAAGGCATTGTGATAATCATGATTTAGGAAAAGGTCTGTGTATATCACCAGCCTTGGCTCAAACTCTAAAGGATCAAACGTTGCTAACCTTAAAGCTGATTTATATATGTCTTTCCATTGTTTACCCCAAGATGTTTTTGCCAGATATTAGTTTAAAGGATGTAGGACTGGCTGTTAAGAGTTGAGATTGTTACTAAGTGAAATGAGGGAGGAGAGGAGGCAGGGGCAAATACAAGGGCAGCAACAAAAAATAGAGCTCAGTTTTGCAGAAGAGATATGATGCCTGGCCACCTTAAAATAGCTCTGTACCTCAGGATTTAGCAACAAAGCATACATTATGATGGTTTCTTGGAGGTATGTAAGGAGAGGGAGTGGTGAGGTCTGAGAATATAGGACAAAGTCTGAAATTGTTTTATATTATATTTACAGCTTTACAACACCTAAGTAGGCAAGAAGCAACTTTTTCAAAGACCAACATGAGAAAAGAAGAGTCACTTAAGAAAGGATTGTTCCCAAGTTTTAGGCATGTTTACTAAAGAAAAGTTGTAATCAGAAGTCTTCCTAAGGATGGACCAGGTGTGGTGGCTCACGCCTGTAATCCCAGCACTTTGGAAAACTGAGGAGGGTGGATCACAAGGTCAAGAGATAGAGACCATCCTGGCCAACATAGTGAAACCCCATCTCTACTAAAAATATAAAAATTCGCTGGGCATGGTGGTATGTGCCTGTAGTCCCAGTTACTTGGGAGGCTAAGGCAGGAAAATCGCTTGAATCTAGGAGGTGGAGGTTGTAGTGAGCCATGATTGCACTGCTCCAGCCTGGCAACAGAGACTCTATCTCAAAAAAAAAAAAAAAAAGTATTTCTGAGGATTAGCGACTCAAGTAATCCTGGTAGCTTGGGTCCAGAAGTTTGAGACCAGCCTGGCCAACATGACAAATCCTCGTCTATACAAAAAAATACAAAGATTAGTCAGGCATGGTGGCATGTGTCTGTAGTCCCAGCTACTCGGGAGGCTGACAGACTGAGGCTTCAGCCTGGGTCAAGGCTGCAGTGAGCCCAGATTGCACCACTGCACTCCAGCCTGGACGACAGAGTAAGACCCAATCTCAAAAACAAAATTTTTTAAAGTTTCAGACTGCTCTCATGCTGTTTTAATTTACAGTTTACATACAGGTTGTGGGGGTTCAGTATGTGCTCAGATGTTACCTCAAACTTGCTCACAAGTTACATTAAAGCAGAATCACATAAAAGTTTGGATGTAAAAGTACATTTGGTTATAGATTACAGAGGCAACATTCCTAACCCCTTTAGACATCATCTTATGTGCAGGAAAAGGCAAGGGCTAGGGTCATTTACCTTCTAATTTTTAGAGACACAGTGTTACTCTGTTGCCTAGGCTGGAGTGCAGTGGTGCAATCATTGCTCACTACAGCCTCCAACTCATGGCTCAAACGATCCTCCTGCTTCAGCCTCCTGAGTAACTGGGACTACAGGTGCACTCCACCAAGTCCGGCTAATGTTTAAATTTTTTGTAGAGTTAGGGACTCGCCATGTTGCGCAGGCTGATCTTGTATCCTGGCCTCAAGCAATCCTCCCTCTTTGGCCCCCCAAAGCATTGACATTAGGTTTGTGAGCCACCGCACCCAGCCCTTTTATCTTTTAAGGAATATAGTGACTCAGGCAAGAGATACGGAGGACGGTGCCCCATCCTGTTTTGTCTTCAAAAGGTCTTTCCAGAGACTTCAGTCAGAGTCAGAGGCTTTGTGAAGTTATGTTGCCAAGCTGACATAAGCAAGCCTGGCTTCTTATATTTGTTTCTTTGTCTCACGGAAGATGAGGAATCCTAAAATACAAATTTTGTCCATAACTTTATACTGTGTGGGATACTGCTTTGGTGAAGTCCGTTTTATTGTCATCCCTTTCTTTTTGTAAATTAAAAAAAAATTTTTTTTTTTTTTTCTTGAGACAAGGTTTCGTTATGCTGCGCAGACTGGCCTCAAACTCTTGGGGTCAAGCCGTTCTCCCACCTCAGTCTTCATCCCTTTCGAGACAGCGAAAAACAAATATGCAGAGCTCCGGGTCCTCTTTTCTAGGGCAGGGAGGGGAGCCTGAGGGTCTGGTAGGTCCCAATGAGGTGACTGCTCCAGCACTTCGTCTTTGGAAACATCCTGTCTAGCGCCAGTTTGACCCGAGGAACGGCCTAAGTCGCCCGCAGGCTCCTAAAGCCCTCGTCTTTCCGGGTGGCAAGACAGCTGATCCATCTCTAGAACAAGTTCCCGGTTGCTTTAGGCGCTTTGTTACAGCTGACGGGGCTGGCGGCAGTTGGGCTCTCCGCTGGGAAAGGCGCAGCTCGAGTGTAAGGCTCGGGAGGGGACACTGAAATGGTCTTCCTGGAAGGCTTCCTTCAGGAGGAAACAAATTGGGAGTTGTTGGCGGTACAGACAGTTCAGCAAAGTGTTCCTCCTTGGGGAATTTCGGAAGGATCCTGGCCCGGTGTACTCCAAGGTCCGGCGCCGATAGGTCGAGGGTAGAGGGAGGTACCAGGCTGGGCAGCTTGGCCCCAGGGGGACATCTTCCCTGCTCCACGCATCCAATAGATGACCCCAGCTGAGGCCCACGTAGCCAATAGCCGACTTCAGCCGAGACCCACGCAGCCAATGGTCGGCCTGCTGCGCTTCGCCCCTGCCCGCCCGCCGGCGCCCACCAATCAGGACTCGGGCCACCTTGGCACCGCCTCTGGACGCCCACCCCACCCATCCGCCCCGCCTCCAACTTGCTCAGCAGGGCTGGGTACACCGGCGCGCTCTCCGGGACTGGGTGGGGGGGCAGTCCCGGTTTCGGCCTTCGCGCGGGTGGGCTCGGAGCGGCCGCACCGGGCAGCAACCCCACTCCCAACTCGGAGACCCCTGCCCTCTCCCCCACTTCCCCCCGGCCCATGGTGCGAGGCTGGGAACCGCCGCCCGGGCTGGACCGCGGTGAGTGATCCCCAGCCCCTTGGACTTCCCCTCCCAGCTCGTGTACGATCTCCGACCTCTGGAGCCCCATCCCCGCGCTGGTGGGGGGAGAATTCTAGGTTCGAAGTCGCCCGGTTCTCTCTTTTTTCTCCTCTGGAGTTTTTGGTTCCCTGTTGTAACTACGGGAGGGGTGAGTGTCTGCGTAGGGGAGGGAAACGTTGGGTTGGGGCGCCCTTGGCGAGAGTAGGATCGAGATTCGCCTGCTTCATGGGGCTCATCGCCCCAAGTGCAACAACTTTTTGTTCCCTGACCCAGTTCGGAGCCTTCTGGACTGCCTGTGAAATGGAGGATAGGAGAAACGTTTCCTTCCCAGCCCCCTCCAACACGCCCCCCCCCAACCCCCATGACTACCTCCTGGCGACCTCAACACACATATAGAACCTGGCCTTGCTTCTGAGGATCTGGCCTTTGGGAATGAAAGGTTTAGAAGCAATTGCCCCTTCTGACTCCCGTACCCAGCCATACTGAGAAAACCAACCAGGAAACTGAGAACCCAAGTCCTCTGGGGTTCCTAGTGTTGCGTCCTGTTCTGAGACTACTAAACTGAAAGAAGACTCAAGCTGAGACCTGTTTGGTAATGTGGGCCCAGATCAGATTTTTTTTCTTTTTTTTGTCATGTGAACCTCCTTCCCATCGTACACTTGAAGCCTTTTTATATTATACGATTAGGTTAGATGGTAGTAACTGAAAAAGCCAGATTGGGAATTTTAAAGATAATGAATACATATCTTAAACATTATAATTAAAAGTACGTTCATTTCACCAATCTTTTGATGTAGTGGTGAGACTGTTTTTGTGTCTAAGTCAGCTGTTCGGAGTTCCCAATCCTCTTTCTAATATTAACTACACAGGGAGTCTCAAAACTGGGTATGCCCTGAGAACTTTTAAAAACTGTGGATGCCTGGGCCCCACACAGACTATTGAATCTGAATGGGGAGAAGGGTGGCCTTGTTTTTAAGCTTCCCAGGTAATTCCAGTGTGCAGTCTGAGACGAGAGCCACTCTGGCACTTTCATCATCTTTGATTTCCTGTTTTGCTTTATTTATAAAAGTGAAGAAATTTAGACACCTTTGAGTGCAGAGGACTTTCAAGATTAAGTTCCACCCCTCAGTCTTTTACAGTTGTCTTCCTCACTCCTGACTCAACAGTTTTTAAAATGCATACTCTTCTTTGTGTTATGTCTCTCCAAAGCATTTGACTTAGTTTTCATAGGAACAGTTTTTAAAAATCAATATTCCTGAAGGAACAATTTTAATGCAGTGAGTTTTCATAGGTTTATGTGAGATTTAATTACATTATTATATAGACACTGAAAAGGTATGGACATAAGAAGGTTTGTAATCACACAAAACTGGCCCCAGCACACAGGACAACTGAATGAAGCAGGTGATTTTGGCTCACTAGTAGCCTACTAGCCTTTAGTTTCCAGTGCACTGTGGGTATTGGTCATGTAATCCGGTGATCAGTTAAGCCAGGCTCCTGGCCCAGTTGAGCATTGCTCCCTTCCACTCTTTCCAACTAATATCACAAATACCTTGTCCTTTCTAGATGCACTTGAATTCTTGAGTATTCCATCAACTCTTTACATTCATTCACATTAAGCTGTTCATCTTTAAGCAATTGCCACTATTGCCTTTATTAAGTTGGAAGGATATGAGACAGTAATCCTTAACCTGGCTTCTTTTTTTTTTTTTTGAGACACAGTCTCACTCCCTCACCAGGCGCCAGGCTGGAGTGCAGTGGCGGGACCTTGGATCACTGCAACCTCCATCTCCAGGTTCAAGCACTCCTGCCTCAGCCTCCTGAGTAGCTGGGACTACAGTCATGCGCCACGACACCCAGCTAATTTTTTTGTATTTTTGGTAGAGATGGGGTTTCACCATGTTGGCCAGGATGGTCTTGATCTCTAGCTCTAGACCTCATGATCCGCCCACCTCGGCCTCCCAAAGTGCTGAGATTATAGGCATGAGCCACCACACCCAGCGTTTTTTTTTTTTTTTTAGACAGAGTCCTGCTCTGTCACCCAGGCTGGAAGTGCAATGGTGTGATCTTGGCTCACTGCAACCTCTGCCTCCCAGGTTCAAGCGATTCACTTGCCTTAGCCTCCCAAGTAGCTGGGATTGCTGGTGACCGCCACTCCCAGCTTTTTTTTTTTGTATTTTTAGTAGAGACGGGGTTTTGCCATGTTGGTCTGGCTGGTCTCGAACTCCTGACCTCAAGTGATCTGCCTGCCTCGGCCTCCCAAAATGCTGGGATTACAGGCATGAGTCATCATGTCCAGCCATAACCTGGCTTTTGGCAGTCACTAAAGCCCCGGAGTTTATTGTGTAAGTGTGAATGTTTATTTCAGGAAGGTTAATCATAACTTTCTGAGGGTCTGTAACTTTTGTCTAATTCTCAAAGAGGTTCATGAACCAAAAAGTTAAGCATATAACCTGAATATTGCTATAAGTCTTTAAGGCCCTTAAAACTATATCCCAAACACATTTCAGGAGTACTTCAGATTGTTAAATAAAGATTTCAGGAATTCCGCAGGATCATATCTAGTCTCCCACTTTATTTATTTTTATTTATTTATGTATTTATTTTGAGACAGAATCTCGCTCTGTTACCCAGGCTGGAGTGCAGTGTCGCAATCTTGGCTCACTGCAACCTCAGCCTCCCAGGTTCAAGCGATTCTCCTGCCTCAGCCTTCCCAGTAGCTGGGACTATAGGCACATGCCACCACAGCCAGCCAATTTTTGTATTTTTAGTAGAAACGAGGTTTCACCATGTTGGCCAGGCTGGTCTCAAACTCCTGACCTCAAGTGATCTGCCTGCCTTGGCCTCCCAAATTGCTGGGATTATAGGCATAAGCCACCACACCTGGCCTCATCTCCCACTTTAACCATCTCCAACTTTAATGATAAGCCTAGTTCAAATCTAAAGTTCTAGAGTCCTCTTTTTCCTAGGACTGTATAAACACAGAAACTGGAACTTTAAGAAAGCCCATTTTTCTCTGCCATCTGCTTAGGGATATGGAAAGCCTAAGGGGAAAGAAGAGTGTTATATTAACTCAGAGAGAGAGAGAGGGATACTTTTTTTTTAATTTTAAAAATTTATTTTCTTTCTTTAGTTTTGAGACAGGGTCTCACTCTGTCGCTCAGTCTGGAGTATAGTGGCATGATCTCGGCTCACTGCAACTTCCGCCTTCCCGGTTCAAGCAATTCTCCTGCCTCAGCCTCCCAAGTAGCTGGGACTACAGGTGCGCACAACCATACCCGGCTAATTTTTTGCATTTTTAATAGAGACGGGTTTTGCCATGTTAGCCAGGCTGGTCTCGAACTCCCGACTTCGTGATCTGCCTGCCTTGGCCTCCCAAAGTGCTAGGATTACAGGTGTGAGCCATCACATTTGGCCTTAAAATTTGTTTATTACTGACTGATTGATTGAGACAAGGTCTTTCTATATTGCCCAGGCTGGTCTTGAACTCTTGAGCTCAAGTGATCCTCCTGCCTCCCAAAATGCTGGGAATACAGGCATGAGCCACTGCACCTGGCCATGACTCCATATATTTTATTAGTGATCTTTAAGTAGCAGTAGGACATATCTGGCATGTTTAATAAGGATACAAATTTAGGTGGTATTCAGAATAGATGCTCATCACCACCACCACCTCCTCTGCCCTAGGACTCCTCACTTCAGCTTTTGATTCCCTTCTTTTTCTACCTAATCCAAAATGGACACACAAGAACACAAGATACCGTAGTGTCTTTATTGTGATTTTGATTACTAGAGGTTCTACCCTACTTCTTATAATTCTCATGAGCCACCCTGGTTGTAGTTTTCTCCTAGTTCAAAGCCAGATTCTTCCAGGGAAGTACCAGCTATACAGCTGTGTGCCTTGATTTAAGTCACCATTCTGTTTCAGGAAGTGTTCCATAACATGTTTTGTGTAAGTGAAAACTATGTGTATAGTACACCAAATATGCTATTTGCAGTACTGTATGTTACACTGAAATACCAAGCTGATGCTGACAATATGAAGGACATCAAGCCACATAAATGAAAACAAATGCTTCCTTATAGCTTTTAATGTTTATAAATGTACCTGCCTTATACTTATATTCCCATCTCAGTATTCATCCTCACACTGGACTGCTTTGTTCCTTCTGCTTTATTTTCTTTATCTCTAAACTGTTATCGTGTCTTTATATAAGAGGACACAAATGAGGTTAAGTAGATATCAAGCATTGCCATCATAAAGTATTCTCCAGCTTTGATTTGGTGGTGTTCCGGGTGGGCCACAGTTTCTAAATGGTAGTTTTCAGCTGTGTCCTGGATGAACCTGGAAGGGGAAAGGTGGAACTATCACATAGGCAACCGACATTCCAATCACAAAGAATTCAAATTATGGATGCAATTCTAAAGCAGTGGTTTTCATACATTTTTAAAGCAGCAAATACATTCTGAAATTGTATTTAAACCCCAAAATATTAAAAGTATAGAATCATAGATATCCTGGTTTCCTCATCACTAGTTAAAATTAGGGCTCTGCAAAAATAGATTGAAAACACTGATTTTTAAATGATTCAGTCTTTGTCCCAGTTACCCCATTGTCTAGGAGGAGCATTACTTTACATCAGAATCACTTCCATGAAGTTGAAGTGATGATAAAAAGCTACTATTTATTGAGCCCTTACTTTGTTCTCAGTATAATGTCAAGTGCACTTTTTCAGTCATAAACTTGCTGGGTAGGTGCTTTTTTGCTTTTTTCTTTTCTTTTTGAGATAAGGTCTCTCTCTGTCACCCAGGCTGCAGTGCAGTGCACAGTCTTGGTTCACTGCAACGTCAACCTCCCGGGCTCAAGCAGTCCTCCCACCTCAGCCTCCCAAGTAGCTGGGACTACAGTTGCGCTACCATGCCCATCTAATATTTTTTATTATTATTATTATTATAGAGACAGTTTCACCATGCTTCCCAGGCTGGTCTCAAACTTCTGGGCTCAAGCCATCTACCCACCTTGCCCTCCCAAAGTGTTGGTGTTACAGGCGTGAGCCACCACGCTTGGCCCAAAAAAAGGGGCTTTTTTCTGATGCGAAATTAAGGCTTAGAGAAGTTAAATAACTTGCCCAAAGACAAGCAGCTTTCTAGAAAGTGGAATTACATTAATTCATCTCACCCTGGACATCCCTCCTCTAACATTTGCTCTATGCCCTGCCTATACATAACACCTAGCACATAGTACTATTACATACTCTCTGCGCTGTCTTCATTTTGTTACACAGGAGGAAACTAGGCTCACGTAGGGTAAGTGACTTGCCTGAGATCACATAGCTGATAAGTGGCAAAACCGGGATTCAAACTCAGGTTGGCCTTATCGAAGAACTCGTATTTCTACCTATCATGCCATGCTACCTCCATTGACCCTCTTAAGGGCTCTTCAAGCAATATTGCTTTCAGGGTCTGTATAGCCTCAGTTAGTTAGATTTGCTTGTTAAAAGGAAATGGTGACATGCATTAAAATACTTCTGAATTTTAAAAATCATGGTTTCAAATCCCTGATATCACATTGCTCTAAATTTATGGACTTGAGATTTATTTTTGCAATTCATCATGTAGCATTTACATAGGAATTCCATCCTCTCCTTAGCAGATCTGGAGTAGTACTTAAAAACACAGATGGAAGGCCCAGCATGGTGGCTCACGCCTATAATTCCAGCACTTTGAGAGGCTGAGGCAGGCGGATCACGAAGTCAGTTGAAGACAAGCCTGGCCAACATGGTGAAACCCCGTCTCTACTAAAAAAAATTAGCTAGGCATGATGGAGCATGCCTATAGTCCCAGCTACTCAGGAGGCTGAGGCAGGGGAATCGCTTGAACCCGGGAGGCGGAGGTTGCAGTAAGCCAAGATCACGCCACTGCAATATAGCCTGGCAACAGAGCAAGACTCCATCTCCAAAATAAATAAATAAATAATTAAAAAAAAAAAAAATCCAGATAGGATTCCCCTAAGAGTAAAGGGTGACAAATGTGTTAAAGGGTCTCTAGTGCCCACACAGGGAGCTGAGTTAAAATTGTCAGCAGAATATTCTGGGAAATAACTTAAGCAGTTATTTCAGGAAAGAAGCACAGTCAAGGCTATCCCTGCAGTCCCCATACCTATAACCCTGGGAGCAGTGCTGCTGCTGAGCAGCTTGCAGGAGCTGGTTACAATTTATAATGAGCCTGTCCACCTGGTCTTGAGGAGAAAGCTGGGCTGAAAAGATAAGCGCAAGAGACCTTCTGCCCTGTGAGGAGGGGACTGTTAGTGACTGAGGGAGCTCTCTGGGCTCCCTGGGGAGAAGCTGAGCTGTTGGAAGAGACAAAGGCTGGGGGAGGGGATAACCTTTGTTCTAAGGCTGACTTGGGGGCGGAAACATTTTCCTCTCCATTTTCACATGACCTAAAGGATTGGGGGAGTGAGCCTCATTTAACCTAGATCTCTGACCCATATCTCTCATTCAACCAAGAGATGGAAAAAATCAAGCTATCAGGTTTGGGCTTAGGGCTTAAAGGTCCTATCATTCATTTGCCTTCCCCCAACACTCCACCACCAAGAAGGGAAAGAAAAAAGGGAGCTGGGCAGAGGACGGTGTTGTCCTACCTTCCAGATATTCATCAGTTGTATTCTCGATCTATTACTCCACATTCTAAATATAATTATAAATTGTTAGGATCCAAAGAGTTAGTAACAAGCCAGGCACAATGGTGTGCACCTGTAGTCCCAGCCACTCAGGAGGTTGAGGCAGGAGAAGCACTTGATCCCAGGAATTCGAGGTTGTAGTGCATTATGATTGCACCTATGCATAGCACGCCAGCCTGGGCAACATAGTGAGACCTTGTCTCCAAAAAAAATAGCAGCTGGGCGAGGTGGCTCATGCCTGTAATCCCAGCACTTTGGGAGACAGAGGTGGGTGGATCACTTGAGGTCAGGAGTTTGAGACCAGCCTGGCCAACACAGAGAAACCCCGTCTCTACTAAAAATACAAAAATTAGCCAGGCATCATGGGGCATGCTTGTATTCCCAGCCACTTGGGAGGCTGAGGCAGAAGAATCACTTGAACCTGGGAGGCGGAGGCTGCAGTGAGCTCAAACTGTGCTACTGCACTCCATCCTGGGCAACAGAGTGAGACCTTGCTCAAATACAAAACAAAACAAAAACAGTTTTGAGGGCCAGGTGCAGTGGCTCACTCCAGTAATCTCAGGACTTTGGGAGGCTGAGGTGGGAGGATCACTTGAGGCTAGGAGTTTGAGACCAGCCTGGGCAACATAATGAGACCCTGTCTACAGAAAAAATTTAAAATTAGCTGGATGTGGCTGCATGCATCTGTAGTCCTAGCTACTTGGGAGGCTGAGGTGGAAGGATTGCTTGAGCCCAAGAGTTGAAAGCTGCAATGAGCTATGATCATTGCACTCCAGCCTCGGCAACAGAGTGAGACCCTGACTCTTGAAAAAAACAAAAATGTGCACACATACACACAAGCCAGTTGAAATTCTTGCTCCTCTTGTTTTTGCGATCGAGTCTTCACTATGTGATTCTTGTTCCATGAATTTAGAAGGTGAGAGTTGGTGGATAGCTTCTAGAAATGGCTTTGAATAGGAAAGATAAAGGCTGTATTAGAGATATGATGGTGCCACTGCACTTCAGCCTGGGTGGCCTCAGTGAGAGAGCAATATTATCTCTTAAAAAATAAAACACTGCTGGACGCAGTGGCTCAAATCTGTAATCCCAGCACTTTGGGAGACTGAGACAGGTAGATCACAAGGTCAGGAGTTCAAGACCAGCCTGGCCAAGATGGTGAAACCCAGTCTCTACTAAAAACATAAAAAGTAGCCGGGCGTGGTGGTGGGTGCCTATAATCCCCGCTTCTCAGGAGGCTGAGGCAGGAGGACTTCTTGAGCCTGGGAGGTTGAGGCTGCAGTGAGCTATGATCATACCACTGCACTCCAGCCTGGGCGACAGAGTGCAAATTTGTCTTAAAAAAAAAAAAAAAAAACCACACACTAAAAAAACTATATCGGGATCAGTTTTTCTGCTTAACTTCTAAAGACAGACAGATTTTTTTTTTTTTTCTGAGATAGAGTCTCACTATATCATCCAGGCTGGAGTGCAGTGGTGTTGTCATAGTTCACTGCAGCCTCCACCTCTGAGGCTCAAGCAGCCCTCCTGCCTTAGCCTCCCAAGTAGCTGGGACTACAGGCATGAACCACCATGCCCAGCTGATTTAAATTTAAATTTTTTGTAGTCTCACCATGTTACCCAGGCTATTATTAAACCCCTGGGCTCAAGCAATCCTCTCACCTCGGCCTCCTGAAGTGCTGGGATTACAGGTGTGAACCACTATACCTGGCTTTAAAGACATTTTTTTCTTGGTACAACACTCACCAGTCACATGACTTGGGGTAATTTAACATCTATGAACTTTAGTCCACAGAAAATGGGAATTAAAGCAGGATCTGATGGCTTAAGGTTATGAAAATTAAATGAGAAATTGTTGAAGCACTTAAAAAGCAATATAACATGATACAAATAGAAATTGTTTTGGTGTCCAGCAGTTAGTTTGGTAGAAATTGAATAATGTGTCAAAAAGAGGAGACCCAGTGATTGAGCTGTTTCTCTTCTTATTACAGCTATCTCTGAAGGGCACAAATCAGAAAGCATCATGCCTCCTAATAAAGAGGCCAGCAGTCTCAATAGTTCACCAGCGGGGCTCATCTGCCTCCCTCCAATCTCTGAGGAGCTACAGCTTGTATGGACCCAAGCAGCCCAGACCAGTGAGCTAGACAGCAATGAACACCTGCTACAAACCTTCAGCTACTTTCCCTATCCCAGCCTAGCAGACATTGCCCTTCTCTGCCTGCGTTATGGGTTGCAGATGGAGAAAGTCAAGACTTGGTTTATGGCCCAGCGCCTCCGCTGTGGCATTAGCTGGTCATCTGAAGAAATAGAAGAGACTCGAGCCCGAGTGGTCTACCATCGGGACCAACTCCATTTCAAATCCCTTCTCTCTTTTACTCATCATGCAGGACGGCCCCCAGAGGAGGTGCCTCCTCCAATGCCAGCTCCAGAACAAGTTGGTATTGGAATAGGTCCTCCAGCTCTTAGCAAGCCCACCCAGACGAAAGGATTGAAGGTAGAGCCTGAGGAGTCCTCTCAGATACTGCCACTGCCACAGAGTCACCAGAAGTTAAAGGAGTCCCTGATAACACCTGGCAGTGGAGCATTCCCCCACCAATCAGATTTTTGGCAAGATCTTCAAAGCAGTGGCCTCTCAAAGGAGCAGGCAGGCAGGGGTCCCAACCAGTCACACGGCATAGGTACTGCTTCCTGGAACCACTCCACAACTGTCCTCCAGCCACAAGCACGGGATAAGCCCCCACCAACTGCATTAATTGCCAGTAGTTGTAAGGAGGAGTCAGCATCTAGTGTTACTCCCTCTTCTTCCTCTACCTCTTCTTCCTCTTTCCAGGTACTATCTAATGGAGCAACTGCCACCTCCAAACCCCTTCAGCCACTAGGCTGTATCCCACAGTCAGTGTCACCCAGTGATCAGGCATTACCCCCACACCTGGAATCAGCCTGGCCCCATGGGCTACGGCATAACTCATTACCAGGTAGGGTTGGTCCCACAGAGTACCTATCCCCAGATATGCAACGCCAGCGAAAGCCCAAGCGCAAAACCAAAGAGCAGCTGGCTATCCTCAAATCCTTTTTTTTACAGTGCCAATGGGCACGGCGTGAAGATTACCATAAGTTAGAACAGATCACTGGTTTACCTCGGCCTGAAATCATTCAGTGGTTTGGTGACACACGCTATGCCTTGAAGCATGGGCAACTAAAATGGTTTCGGGACAATGCAGTACCTGGTGCCCCTAGTTTCCAAGACCCAGTAATTCCTACACCACCTCCACCATCAACCCGCTCCTTGAATGAAAGGGCTGAGACACCACCTCTGCCGACCCCTCCACCCCCACCGGATATGCAGCCCTTGGAGAGGTACTGGGCAGCCCACCAACAGCTACGGGAGACTGATATCCCTCAACTGAGTCAGGCTTCAAGGCTTAGCACCCAGCAGGTACTGGATTGGTTTGACTCTCGATTACCTCAGCCAGCTGAAGTGGTAGTTTGTCTAGATGAAGAAGAGGAAGAGGAGGAGGAAGAACTGCCAGAAGATGATGAGGAAGAGGAGGAGGAAGAAGATGATGATGATGATGATGATGATGTGATCATACAAGACTGAGTGGGGAGCTGGGGGAGGGGAGGTCTGTTACTAAAAGATGAACCAACTTAGCAACTGTTTAAACAAAGAAACCACATTTTTAAAATTACCTTGTGGCAGAGAACTAAAAAGTTTTGTGTTCTTCAGGGTGGGTGGCAGGGGAATGTAGTGAGGGTGAACCAGGGAGGATGAGCATAGGGCACTAAGTAAGGCTGGGATTGGATCAGCAGAAATCCAGACCTCTAAGCTCAGTGTAGAGTGTACCAAGGATCTGGAGAAACCGTGGGCTGGGAAATGGCATTTGCCCTCCTCATGCCTGCTGTTCTTTTCCCTTAGTGTACTATAGAGAGGCCAGACCTTGGCCACACCTCTCCAGGAGGATTGGAAAGGAGTAAAGGATTCTAATTCGATTGATGATTCCAGTGCATCCCCAACCCTACCATCTTTCCTGGAATATAAGGCTCCCTTGCACTCCTTTTCTGAACACAAGTCTGTGTGTAATGCAACTGACTCTCTTACTTTTTTTCTTAATGACTGATCATTTCCTAGACAACTGAGATTCTCAGTAAGTCCCAGTCTCATCACAAATATTAACTTCCTTTTCCTCATACATCATGATTTTATATGTTTCACCTGCTTCATGACTGAATCACAGGTGGCAGAATATTTTCATTTCTTATGCTGGGACCACCCTTTGCCTTGTAGCTTTTTCTCTCTTTCCAAAATCCTCACTCTGTTCACTATTTGTCTCAGGGTAAATCTTCCCCCACTGAGCTTGTGAAAAACTTTAATTGGGTGGAGAATAATTTAGAATGGATATTTATTAGAAAAGAAGACCTTTTAAAAAGTAGAATTATGTTACAAAGGGGTGAAAGAGAGGGAACAGTTTCTCCTGGTTGAAGGGCAGTGGAGGTAGGTTTCAGGTTTGGTTTTACAAACCTCATAACGACCTTCTGTCCAGCTTGACAGAGACTAATTCTTCATCTTTTTGCTGCCAGTTTGTTTCCAGAAAAGAGACTTTTCCCTCTCTTTATAGGATCTGTCTTAGGGACAGAGGGACCATGGTCTTTGAGTCAATCAATTATTGATGTTTTAGAATGGTTTTCATTAGTTGGGAACAGCTATATGGCAAATAGGTATCATCAATGAGTTAACCATCTAAAAATAAAAGAGTGGAAGCCCTAAGATGCTAGAATAGTAATAAAAAGGCCAAAAATAAAATTGTTTCTCTCTCATCCACTTTGCTACTGCTATGGTTTAGGGATTAATGGAACCAAATCCATTAACATTCGAATTCAACATACTTTTATTGTTTGAAGGGGCAGGACTTATTGAGGTAAATTAAAAGAAAAACAAAAACTTTAAAAGGAAGTAGCTCAGCATCTATCACCAGGCAGATTGTTTCTCAGCCATCAAATGATAATGACTAAAATTTCTGAGGCTTCAGGAGTAACAGAGATACAAGAGTCTTGGAGGTAACTCCATTTGCTACAGAACAGGCTCTTGCCCAAAAGAGAAGGTGTCTAGAAATTCCTTTAAAAATAAATTCAGAGTACCAGAAAGGGTATGGGGATCCTAGTTCAGATAAACAAGATAATTCCCAAGACCTAATTTATTTCTGACAGATGCCTGCTATTTTCTGTTTTCCCAGTATTTTTGCTTAAGGCCAGTTTGTGAGTGGCTAACATATTAAATTCCTCATTTCTGCCATTTAGTACCCAAAGTCGAATACATGTTTGATCTCAGTGGTAGTGTTGTTTGCCATTCCACCATTCCAGAGCTTGTAATAGTGATAGAATCGTAGCAATAAAAGGACATCCTCTTAATTTTACTACCTATATATTTTACTAAGCTGAAAATCAGTGTTTCTAACAGTTGTTTTCAATAGAAAGGAAAATTAACATATTTAATAGTAATTAAGCATAGAGGAAACAATAGGCAAACAGAAAAAGTACAAGGACAAAGAACAGAGATGTTTTGTTTTGCTTGTTAACACTGACAATGGGAGAGTATATCCAAAGCTAAAAATTAAAACCAGAAATGAAACAGTGATGCGTATATGACCCACCACATCCCCATTCCCAACTCCCAACCAAATATGATGCCAAGAATTATTTTTACAATCTTTGTTTCAAGTTGTAGGAAATGAGGGAAGCTACCTGTGTCTTCTGGAAGAGATATAAACATCATCTTGAAGCGCTAGCCTTTTCTAAGACCTGACCACTGTCCTGGGAGGAGATAAGGGTGAATAGGGTAAAGATGAGGAAGCATAAGGTAGAGTGAAACCAGGAAACAACACCAGGGTACTTTTTCCAGAGCCATCACCCCAATGGGTACTGGATGCTACAGTCTATCTTTCAGCAGTATGTATACATCAGACCTTGAAGATCGTCTATCTAGAAGTGCTCCATGCTCCTCTTCTACTGGGTAATCCAGTCTGCCTCTGTTGTTGGTAGGGAGTCTGTAGCAGAGGACAAGAAGGTAGATGTGGTTGTTTATAACAACAAAAAGGGCAAGCAAATCTCTCTCAACCCATTGTATGAAGCTTATTGAGACAGAAACCACTGCTGCTTCCCCATAGTTTTTTTCATTGCATGACAACTAACTTTTCCAAACTAGGATTTGCTACATCTGGTGTGGCAATCTCTGGAATATTTCAGCGGCTTATGGTGATAATAATGATGATGAATATTTGAAAAACTATTTTGGAGAATCTGGGACATACGACTACCATACCCAGAGATGACTATCCAGGAGGCAGAGTTCTGAGGAGGTGGCATTTCCTTCAATAACTTTTAAAAACTTAGACATTTTCGGCCAGGCATGGTGGCTCACGCCTGTAATCCCAGCACTTTGGGAAGCCGAGGCGGGCAGACCACCTGAGGTTAGGAGGTTGAGACCAGCCTGACCAACATGGCATCTCTACTAAAACTACAAAAATGTAAAAAAATACAAAATTAAAAACAAAACTTTCACATTTTCAAAAAATACATAGAATAATATAATGAACTCATGTGCCCATCATCCATCTTTAACAAATAATTCATGGCCAATCTTTTATTTCTACTCTCCCATGTCTCTCTCTACTAAATTACACTGATGCAAACCCCAGACATCATTTAACTTTTCATCCATAAATACTTTAGTATGTGTCTATAAAAGAGAAAAGCTATTTTAAAAAATATAACTACAATATCATCATACCAAACAACTCTCCAATATTAACAATTATTTAATATCAAATGTCCCATAGGTTAACTTTCTTCAACTGTCTCACGAATGTTTTTTGTTTTTACAGCTTGTTTCAATCAAGATCCAATTAGGGGCCATATGTTGTAGACAGTTTATAGAGCTTTTAAGTCTTTTTTTATCTGTAGGTTAATCCATCCATTTGTGAGGATCTTAGGGAGGAATGTTATTTCCCCAGTGTTGCCTCTTAAGGCTTAGACCCTAATTTATTTTTCTTTCTTTCTTTCTTTTTTTGAGATGGAATTTCACTCTTGTTTCCCAGGCTGGAGTGCCATGGTGTGATCTCGGCTCACTGCAACCTCGGCCTCCCAGGTTCAGGCAATTCTCCCGCCTCAACCTCCTGAGTAGCTGGGACTACAGGCACACGCTGCCACGCCCAGCTCATTTTTTTTGGATTTTATTAGAGATGAGGTTTCACTGTGTTGCCCAGGCTGGTTGCGAACTCCTAAGCTCAGGCAATCCACCTGCCTCAGCCTCCCAAAGTGCTGGGATTACGGGTGTGAGCCACTGTGCCCAGCCCCTAATTTCTTACTGATGAAAATAAAGGTCATCTCGGAATATGGGAGCAAAATATATACCTACCTTAGTATGAAGGAACTGTTCCTGGGGACACCGGAGGCTTGGAGTAGAAAAAGGGGCCTAACTATGCTCAAAACCCAAGCCATTAAAAAAAAGGCAAGACTGGACTTTTTTTCTTTGTGATTCTCCTGTCTCAGCCTCTCAAGTAGCTGAGATTACAGGCACATGGCACCATGCCCAGCTAATTTTGTATTTTTAGTAGAGACAGGGTTTTACCATATTGGTCAGGCTGGTCTCTAACTCCAGACCTCAGGTGATCCACCCCCCTCAGTCTCCCCAAGTACTGAGATTACTGGCATGAGCCACTGCCCCCGCCCTCGTGACTTCATTTAATAGGGCTCTTTACAAACCTCTCCTTGTTACCAAGCCCTTTTTTGTTGCTGGAATCAGAATCATAGTCCCATAAATTTACAAAATATTATGCTAGCTATCTCTAGAAAAGTAAATGTGGTTTTTCCTAATTCAAATAGTACCTCTATCCAAAAGATTTATTTCATATAAAATGCTGTCTTGTGGAACTACTGAGAATGTCAGCGTGTCCAGTTATTTCACCCTAGCCAAGACCTCTCAGTATAAAGCCTCTCATTACCATGTGACTTCATTTTAAAAATCCCAAACCAGGAAGCTAATCTAACAGTAGGATAAAATCTGAAATTGAGACCATTCTGGAAAATTGTGAACATATGGTTACCAGAGTTGAAACCCATGTCGTTCTTCACTGGTTATATTCCACCACCCTAAGACCAGAATGAGGCATTTAGTGTGCAGGCCTAACCATGTGAGATTTTATGCACAGACAAGTTAGACTGGCCAGGTCTCACCTGCAGGACTGGTAGCTGGAAACTAGGAAAACTCTCTAGTGTGGTTCTGCTCTCCCTCTGAGCTGAAGGATAAAATGGAACAGTGAAAGATAACTTACTTGGGCAGTTTCTCGGCAGTGTTACTTGTGGGTCAGGGTAACAAGGTAGTTCTTAATCGAAGGAACACTACTCAGAAGGGAAAGACAATTAGCAATTTAAGAGATGGGTTATAAAGTCCGTTCTTATCCTGTGAGGACCAGGTACTGGCAGAGAGATCTGATATTTAACTATAAGTGGAAAGATAGGCAATATAAATATTTAGGTGAGCTAAGGAAGATGGCAGCCCCTTAGCATCTTTACTGAAAAAGATGGGGAGAAGAATGGATATTGGCCTTATAATCCTCAGAACTGAGTGCCCAGTATTTTCAATATAGGGACTTTTGAGAAGCCAGTTTAATCCTATAAGCCAAACTTCTGGCTAAATAGTAAGACTCGACGGTGACAGGATGAGTGCTCACCAGGGAAAATCCAGAGTTTCCCTTCACTGTGAAGGAAATGAGATGGCTCTTAAAGAATATTAAGGAGCCAACTAGAGACAATGCTCTTTGGGGGAAAACCCCAACTTCTTGTCATCTTGAAAATCTTCATTTTAGTATATGTGTCTATAGTTGAGACTCCACTCCTTTGGAAATGTTAACTTACCAGAATTGTCGGGGGTAAGGACTCTTGTGTGGCCTGAATGCCCATTTGGGGATGGTCTGAAAGAAAAAGTCCCCTGTCCAGTGGAGGCAGATGAAGGTCTAAGGAAGGGAAATAAAAGCATCAGCAGAGAAAAGGAAAGGTAAAGGTAAAAATAAAAAGAATATTTAATGTAAGAGCCTATACAGTTAGGCTAGAGAGGAAAAACTGCAACTAATAATAAAATAATTTTTGCTAGCAACTAATAATAAATTTTTTTTGAGACAGGGTCTCATTCTGTTGCCCAGGTTGGAGTGCAGTAGTATGACCATGGCTCACTGCAGCCTTGACTTCCTAGACTCAAGCGATCCTCCCGTCTTAGCTTCCCAGGTAGCCCATTAAGCCCAGCTAATTAGGTCTCACTTTGTTGCCCAGGCTGGTTGCCAACACCTGGGCTTAAACAAACCTCCCACCTTGGCCTCCCTAAGTATAATCCCAGTATTATAGGTGGGAGCCACTACACCTGCCTAGCCAAAATACACAAATTTGGATGTATATTAAACACAATGCTATCCAACTTTCTTTTTTGTTTATAAGGCACATTATAAACGTCAATGGTACAAGCCAGTGGAGAAGTAACCCTAGGACTGCTGGCAGAGTTTTGTATTTTCATTTTGATTTGTTTTGTTTTTGAGACAGAGTCTCTGTCACACAGGCTGGAGGGCAGTGGCACCATCTCGGCTCACTGCACCCTCTGCCTCCCAAGTTCAAGCAATTCTCCTGCCTCAGCCTCCTGAGTAGCTGGAATCACAGGCACATGCCACCACTCCTGGCTAATTTTTGTATTTTTAGTAGAGACAGGTTTTCACCATGTTGGCCAGGCTGGTCTCGAACTCCTGACCTCAAGTGATCCACCTGCCTAGGCCTCCCAAAGTGCTGGGATTGCAGGCATGAGGCACTGTACCCAGCCTGCTGGCAGAGTTTAAGTATGAACACATCCCAAGAAAAAGGAAGCACAGTGTTACTCACCTATAACATAAGCTGTGGGTTGAAGCTGGTGACGGGGTTTCTGGAAAGCATAAAAATAAGCCTGTGAGATAATCCATGAACTGGAGAAGAGATTCTCTGGTTATACTGGGGTATACAGGGGGCCAAGGAAAAGGAAATGGAGATCAAAGATTTTTAGTATATATGTCAGGCTTGGGGGCTAATGGCAAGTGAAAAAGCTCACAAATCACATAGCAGTATCTCTAACGGGTGCTTTCCTCTCCCTTTCATGAGACTGTGGGTCAAGATCCCTCACTGCCTTCATGTGCTCTAATGTATCTGTGCCTTGGCTTCCCCTCCAAGATGGAAATCACCAGAAAGAATAGGTAAAGACAAAAAAAATTAGCTACGAGTGGCAGAACAAAGATCTCCAAAAATTTCCTCCTCCATAAAAACAATGAGAAAATTGCCATAATGGTCAGAATAAACTTTTTCAGAAATCTGGAAATTAACAAAGGGCTTGTAGTAATCTGGAGAATGTTTATTCCAGAAAAATACCAGAATGTTAGTAAAAACAGCAAGGTTTGTGGCATTTTAACTTGCTCTATTGCCATTTCTCTTTCTCCAGCTGCATGGTAGCCTTGAAAACCAACAGGGCACACTCATGGTGAAAACCAACAGTCTGACAATCACTAGAGGGAATGGAACAGGGTTGGAGCTTCTTGAAGGACTCATTCCCAAAGAACTGTCATTATGTGACCTATCTAGTGGTTTCCTGAAAGACCTCACCTTCAAGCTTGTCTTTATTTGACAGCACCAGGACTTGGAGCTCAGAGCTTACCAAGTGCAGAAAAACCTTTTCCCCAGTCTTCTGAAAACAATTAGAAGCACTTGTTTGGCTGCCTAAGAAGATAAATATCAGCTGGGACAAACAAAAGTCTAACCAAAAAGCATGACATATAGAAAACAAATAACAGGCCAGGCGCGGTGGCTCAAGCCTGTAATCCCAGCACTTTGGGAGGCTGAGACGGGTGGATCACGAGGTCAAGAGATCCAGACCATCCTGGTCAACATGGTGAAACCCCGTCTCTACTAAAAAATTAGCTGGGCATGGTGACGCGTGCCTGTAATCCCAGCTACTCAGGAGGCTGAGGCAGGAGAATTGCCTGAACCCAGGAGGCGGAGGTTGCGTTGAGCCGAGATCATGCCATTGCACTCCAGCCTGGGTAACAAGAGCGAAACTCCGTCTCAAAAAAAAAAAACCCACAAAAACAAATAACAAAAAAATAACAAAATGCAGAAGTCAGTCCTTCCTTATCTGTAATTCCATTAAATGTAAATGAATTAAAAGACAGAAACTGGCAAAAAGATGAAAGAAACAACAAGTCCAACTATACACAGTCTATAAGAGACTCACTTTGGATTCAAAGATGCATATAGGTTTAAAGGAGAAAGATGAAAAAATATATTCCATGCAAAAAAACAGTGAACGAGAGTGGCTATACTAATATCAGACAAAATAGACTTTAAGACAAAATTGGCTGGGCTCACACCTGTAATCCCAGCACTTTGGGAGTCTGAGGCAGGTGGATCATGGGGTCAGGAGTTCAAGACCAGCCTGGCCAACAAGGTGAAAACCTGTCTCTGCTAAAAATACAAAAAGTAGCTGGGCACAGTGAGGCTGAGGCAGGAGAATTGCTTGAACCAGGACCAGGGAGGGGGAGGTTGCAGTGAACTGAGATTGCACCACTGCACTCCAGCCTGGGCTACAGAGTGAGACTCCGTCTCAAAAAAAAAAAAAAAAAGACAAAATTGTTGAGCCACGCACAGTGGCTCATGCCTGTAATCCCAGCACTTTGGGAGGCTAAGACAGGTGGATCACTTGAAGCCAGGAGTTCGAGACCAGCCTGGCCAAATGGCAAAACCTCATCTCTATACTAAAAATACAAAAATTTGCCAGGGGTGTAGGCACACGCCTGTAATTCCAGCTACTCAAGAGTCTGAGGCACGAGAATTGCTTGAAGCCAGGAGGTGGAGGTTGCAGTGAGCCAAGATTTTTGCCACTGAACTTCAGCCAGGACGACAGAGTGAGACTCTGTCTCAAGAAAAGACAAAAAAAGAAAATTGTTACAAGAGACAAAGGCATTAAATAATGATAAAGGGGTCAATTTATCAAGAAGAGAAACATTTCTATATGCACCTAACAACGCAGTCCTAAAATACATAAGCAAAAACTGATATAATTGAAGAGAAAATTAGAGAATTTGACAACAGGGACTAGACATGGTTGCTCAGGCCTATAATCCCAGCACTTTGGGAGCCGAGGCAGGAGGATTGCTTGAGCCCAGGAGTTCAAGACCAGTCAGGGCAACACAGGGAGACCTCATCTCTACAAAGAAATTAAAATTAAAAATTTAAAAGCTAGCCAGGTATAGTGTCACATGCCTTTTGTTCTAGCTACTCAGGAGGCTGAGGTAGGAGACTATTTAGAGAATTAAAAAAAAAAAAAAAGATTTGGGAATTTCAAATTCTTTCTTGTGAAATTCCTCTCTGACAGTATTCTCTAGGTACTGGCTAATGCCCTTGAAAATGGTAACAATAGTAATAGTTTTAAGGGGTTTTAGGTAAGAAATTAAGTAAGCAGACCTAAAACATTACTTCACTGGAATATTTTCATGTTTAAAACACAGCGAAGAAGCCAGATACCCTTCAGGCCAACAGTCGGCATCTTGTGAACCTTCTTTTTACAATTAGCTTATACTGCCACCTTGTGGCAATTCAAAAAATTCCAAGTCAATTTTACTGAAAAGTTATCCTCCATCTCCTACCAGAGGTTTTCAATGACTTTCTATCACTCAAATCTTTATTTCCCCCTTATTAATTGGAGGAAAAAAAATCATTATTTGAAAAACCTATAATATATGTATGGATACCTGGAATCACTGTCTGGAAAAAAACAAGTGAAATGGCATTCTATTAGACATAGAAAACCAGAAATCCGCAGATCTCTGCATAGAGTAGGTTGACTTCTGACACCCTTTCTCCCACCTCTCACCATTACAAGGGTTTCTTGGAGTTCTCCTTTCCTGCGGACCTCTGCCTCCCTAATAGACAAATAATAAGCATCAGTTAATAAGTATATCTCAGTTCTCTGGCTTCCCTATTCCCTATTTATCTGTATCTACACATTCAAGCATATGTTGTTCTACTACAGTGGGCAAACTAGTTTAAGAAAGAGTCATACTTTACTCTTTCCAAATGAACACCATGGACACTGTTATTTCAGTCCTGAAACACTTCTACTATTTCCACCCCTATTTATTCTGTGTCAGTTTTTAACATCAGGTCTCCGTTGCCAAAAGAAAATAGGGTCCAGTATGACATCAGATAATTTATGCCAAAACCAATATAATTTGAGTTCTTGATAAACCTTTGCTTTCATTTAGTGTTAGAAACTTCAATCTGGAAAGAGAAGGTGAACATTGCTTACTTGTCCGAAGCTACCAAAGCCAGCCTCTCTATAAGGAATAGATTCCACTGAGGAGGATCGACTGTATAAGGTGAAACAAAAAGGAAAAAAAAAAAAGCAAAAAACCTAGTTTTATTTGTTGTTGTTGTTGTTTTGTTTTTGTTTTTTTCAGACGAAGTCTCACTCTGTTGCCCAGGCTGGAGCACAATGGCACAAGCTCAGCTCACTGCAACCTCCGTCTCCTGGGTTCAAGCGATTCTCATGCCTCAGCCTCCCCAGTAGGTAGGACTACAGGTGTGCGCCACCACGCCCGGTTAAATTTTGTATTTTTAGTAGAGACAGGGTTTCACCATGTTGGCCAGGCTGGTATTGAACTCCTGACCTCAACTGATCCACCCACCTCAGCCTCTCAAAATGCTGGGATTATAGGCATAAGCCACCATGCAGCCAGCCTCAAAAAACCTAGCTTTATATGTTGTTAGTACACATAACACTTCATTGTTGTTTTGGGGGAAAGGGGCATAGGTCACTAATAAAATGTCTTCAAAGCTAGATTGATGTGGGGAAAACAACTTTCTCTTCTAGTTTTGAGAGACTTCCTCTTGGCTCCCAGGAGGAGGGATTCCCTGACTTTGACACACATGGCTACCTTGGCACAAAAGCCTTGTGGTATGGAAAAACAAATTTGTTTGTATGTCCTCTTCTCCCTTTCCATCTTTCAACATAGACTTAACTTCCTTAAGCCCAGACATCTACTGGGACCTGACTCCCAGTCATTGGTTACCAGTATGTCAGGTCATCTGGACTTTCCAGTGCTGCTACTAACATGACACCTGCAAAAAGAGCAGTGTTTCCCTTTCTAGATTGTGGATCTTCAGATAAATCCTGCCATTTTCTTTCTTTCTTTATCTCTCTCTCTCTCTTTCTTTCTTTCTTTTGAGACGGAGTCTCACTCCGTCACCCAGGCTATAGTGCAGTGGCGAGATCTTGGCTCACTGCAACCTCTGCCTCCCGAGTTCAAGCAATTCCCCTGCCTTAGCCTCCCGAGTAGCTAGGATTACAGGCACATGCCACCATGCCCAGCTACTTTTCTTGTGTTTTTAGTAGAGACAAGGTTTCATCATGTTGGCCAGACTGGTCTCGAACCCCTGACCTCAGGTGATCCACCTGCCTCGGCCTCCCAAAGTGCTGGGATTACAGGTGTGGGCCACTGCGCCTGGCAAAATGCTGCCATTCTCATTTCCCTTCCTGAAAGCAGAGTCGGCTTGTGAAAAGTTGTTAAACAACAGGCTAAATGTGAAATGTCAACCCTCACTCTAAACTTTCCCTGTTCAGAGCATCAGATGAAGACTTTATTGGATTTTTTAATGGCTTTCTGATTTTTGGTAGTCCACTGAAGAAGGGAGTCTGAAAGCTGTATATTGTTAACAATTGTCTGCCCATGTCCTGCCTAAAATACCATGATTGTTTATGGAAAGTATCTTTAATAAAGCTGGATACAGTTTGGATTGGAAAAAAAAAAAAAAAACAAACCTAGCTTTAAACTTCTACATAGACCTAAAATTTTGTCAGTCCCAATCTGAGCCAATCTAGATATTTCTTTCATCTTCCAATTCTTGCCAACAGTTTTAATGTTGCTGTGTAGGCTTACCTGACCACCTGACTGCTATGCTGGGAACTGGGTCGTGGGGTAACTGAAAGAGAATAGAGTGCAGAATAAAAAGTTGCCATCAATGGTGCACCCCGCCTTGCCTGGCCAATTTGTTGTTCGCAGTAATCTGTTATGTGGTGTTTTCATATTATACATAAAGTTAGGAAGATCACATTATTGTCTTTGAGAGGAGACCATCTTCTACATAGAGAAAGGATATTCATCTCACACAGATATTTAAGGAAAAAAATGTTCTTCACCTGACTGTGATGGGGAAGTAATGCCCACTGGTCGAGGTGTGGTTGACCTGCAAAGAAAAAAGAGAAGTGGCTCAAATCCCCCTAAGCAAAGGTTAAGTGCCACTTTAGAGGATCAATCAGATCATTGTTTATAGAAATAATAGCTTCCTCTGTGAGCACAAATTGCTTACTCTCTTGTATTATAGGTAGCATCCCCACATATGGAAGCAATGTTTCCATATAAAACCCATTGCTCTCCAACTCCCTAAGTGGAGCTTTCTCCACCTCTGTGTTGCCCATAATAAAAGTTGTAAAGTACACTTTCTTCTCTCCTCAGTGCCTTACCAAGTACTCTCAGCCATACAGCTGTCCATCCATTCATACATCCCTCCATCCTCTCATCCACCTTAAGAAACTAGAAAAAAAACTAAACCCAAAATAACCAGAAAGAAGGATGCCATCCAACAAGCATATATTTGTGTTCATATTTCCTAGATACTGAGATTACAAAGGTAACTAGAATAACTGAGAGGCTTACAGGCTAGTGGGAGAGATTTAAAAAACAATTAGAGCAGTGTTTAAGTGTCATAATGGGCTTATCAGAAGTACAGAAGGACAAAAGAACACTAGACTGTAACTTTTATGAATGTAGGGGGCCAGGTCTTTTTAATCCATCATTGCAGAGCTGATATTAAAAATATTTTTAGGCATGGTGGCTTACACTTATAATTCCAGCACTTTGGCAGGTTGAGGTGGATGGATCACCTGAGTTTGGGAGGTCGAGATCAGCCTGACCAATAAGGAGAAACCCTGTCTCTACTAAAAAACACAAAATTAGCAGGGCGTGGTGGCACATGTCTGTAATTCCAGCTACTCAGGAAGCTGAGGCAGGAGAGAATCGCTTGAACCCGGGAGGTGGAAGTTGTGGGTGAGGCGAGATTGAGCCAGTGCACTCCAGCCTGGGCAATAAGAGCAAAACTCTTGTCTCAAAAAAAGAAAAAGAAATACACACACACACACACACACACACTTATTTTTAAACAGTTGGTAGAACATACAAATCACTAATTAGAAAGGACCAGTGGAATATATCCAGCCCCTAACACAGTACCTGATAAACTGTAGGCCCTTAATATTTATTGAATGAATGAATAGACCATCTAACTCTACCTAATGCAATATTCACAGAGGAAATGACTGAGTTGGATGTTGAAGGATGAGTAGGATTTCATAAGATGACAGTCCAGGGTGAGCATTACAATTAAAATTTTACTTCGGCAGTTTTCAGTGAGTAACTCTTTCTTGGAGAAGTGAAAGCTAAATTCATTAACCATTTTCTTTCTCTCAGAGTTCACACAGCCAGGAGTCAAGAAAGAATAGGCATTTTCAGGTGACTGGGCTAGTACGGAAGCTGATAAAACTGACCTGCTTCCTTGGTACCAACTCGGAGATTCCTATAGGTTAAAAAATAAATAAAAACAGGAGTGAAGAAAGCTGCAACTGAGGATCCTAATCAACAGATCTTTAGTCTTAATTGTTAGATAACAAAGCTCAATGCCCTTTAGTCAGGGTTGCTAAGATTCCCAGTAGGGGGGAAAGTAGCCACAGTATTTCCTTAGGATATTATTGGCTTTAATATCCTAAGGAAATACTGGGATAAAATTTTAGTTCTTCATAAGTACACATAGGGAATCCCACAGACTAACATATGTGGGGAAATATGGAGTCTCTGGGAGAGAAACGGAAATGACATACTACAATGTGCTTGAATAATTATAGGAGTGAGATCAACAGGAAAATTATACAAATACACAGAACATTCTCAGGAAGAAAAAATATTTAAGAAGTAGAGTGTGATGCAGAGGAAGGGTTCTGAGGTGTCTTGAGTTTATTGAAGAGAAATTTTTGAGCTGCAACAGATGTCTCCTCTATAAGACAGCTTTCTAACTGGTATGTTGTGAATGGATTACAAGTGTGCTATATATTGATCCTTTCAGTCCTCCAAGGTCTGCTGAGACCTCATCCATTGACTATAGTGTGCTTATTGTACAAATATCAATTTCTGTGTGTTCCATGATGAGAAAAAGGTTAGGAAACACTATTCTATACAGTCAGCTAGATAGATGAGAAAAGTAGGAGAGAAAATAATAAGGAAAATCTATTTCATTTACCTTTAGAATGGCTAGAAGTTTCTTCAGTTCTCCATTCTCCTTCCTTAAGACTGACAATTCTCTAGGCAAAAGATGAAAACAATCAGCTCCAACAGATCAGGGATTAAAAACCTGATTTTTTCTTCTTATAACTATTAACATCTATTTAATGCTTTTTGAGAAATGCTTGCAGCTATACAATCTATTTCTATCAGAGATTTTGTGATTGAAGGAGACAATGGCAGGATTCTGATAATGAGAACAATCAGGTGGACAAAATAAGAGATTACTTGGTATGATTTCAAGGGAATTTGCAAAAAAAATCCATTTCCTCTCTTCACACACACACATCCCTGGCCTGCTGATGTCGAAAAATTTTTATCAAGGATTCCATCTTTTGATTGCTCTGGCAGCACATATACCAAAATTGGAACAATACAGAGAAGATTAGAATGGCCCCCAAAGACAGTTAACATGCAAATGCTTGAAGCAATTCATAAAAAATAATAACAATAATAATCAATTTAAAAAGAAGAAAAAAATTCCAGACCAACCTAGGCAATGTGGAGAGACTCAGTCTCTACCATATATATGCACAAGAATTAGGCAGGCATAGTGGCATGCGCTTGTAGTCTCAGCTACTTGGGAGGCTGAGGCGGGAGGATCACTTGAGCCCAGGAGGTTGACGCTACAATGAGTGTTATTAGTGTGAATCAGCTATATCTGATTTTTCAAAAAGAAGTGGAGGGTTTTGTTTTTTTTTTTTTTGAGACAGTGCCTCACTTTTTCACCCAGGCAGGAGTGTAATGGTGTAATCATAACTCACTGTAACTCAGACTCCTGGGCTCAAAGGATCCTCCAGCCTCAGCCTCCCAAGTAGCTGGGACTACAGGTGGGAACCACCATGTCTGGCTAATTTTTTATTTAAGAACTATTTTTTTCAAAATAGAGTCTCGCTGTGTTGCCCAGGCTGGTCTTCTCCTGGACTCAAGTGATCCTTCTGCTTTGGCCATCCAAAGTTCTAGGATTATAAGTGTGAGCCACTGTACCTGGGCTAGGAAGCAGTTTCTGATACTAGGAAATAGAAGAGGAAAACTATAAAGTGAGGGGGGCCTCTGGAGGGCAGAAAGAAAAACAATGGAGATTCAGGGGATCAAAAACTCTGTACCTGATTTTCCCAAACAAACAAATACATATGGAGCAATTTCCAGGCTTTGCAAATACAAGGGAATAAGGACTGTCACTTCTTAAAAAGACAAAAAAAAGGTCTCTAGGGATTTGACTTGTTACTTACTTGTCCTGGCTGACCAGTGCTTGCTGTGCCTCCTGCATGGCTGTTTCTAACTTTGTAATTCTATGCTTATAAAAGGCGAGGAGGAGATCTGTTTGTTTCTTCTGGAAACTCCACACCTACTAGGGAAAAACAAGCCTTTGACATACTCTTCCATAACTCCTTCCCCTTCACTTCTGGCAACAAAGGGAAAACCATCAAATCACACTTTATTATACTGCTCATTTTCTGCTAGAACATCTGGCCTAATTCACAACTTCCCAGAACTAGAGCTCAGCACTCAATTCCAAGGCACTGGTCTTCTACTATCTTATTTTTCTTTTTCTTTTTTTTTTTTTTTTTTTTGAGATGGCATTTCACTCTTTTTGCCCAGGCTGGAGTGCAATGGCTCACTGAAACCTCTGCCTCCTGGTTCAAGATATTCCCCCGCCTCAACCTCCCGATTAGCTGGGATTACAGGCATGTGCCACCCTGCCTGGCTAATTTTGTATTTTTAGTAGATACAGGGTTTTTCCATGTTGGTCAGGCTGGTCTCTAACTCCCTACCTCAGGTGATCCACCTGCCTTGGCCTCCCAAAGTGCTGGGATTACAGGCATAACCCACCGTGCCCAACCCCTTCTACTATCTTAATGAGAATATTCTACCATAGTAGAATGACCCATTAAAAATAAGTTTTTTCATCCTGTGCAGTTAGAGAGATTTTTTTAAACTGTTTTTCAAGCTTAGAATTGGTTCTAACTTGTCCACTATTAGTTTGGATCAGCTTCCACATTCATAGCTATTACAGAGCTTTGGTGACCAATTTACTTTCCCTAAAGACACCTACACAAAGTCACCTGCAGGCTGCTGATGCTGCTACAGGAAAGGGTAGAGAGGCACAGAAGGAGATTGCCTATGCTTGAATTTTGTTTCTGGGCATGCACACATAATTCTATCATTTGCCTTACTTTACCATTTGCTATGCTAATGTGTCTATCATAGGATTGCTGAATCGGATCAAAAGTTAATATTTAGAAAGTGTTTTAGCTTTGTCAGGCTCTACTTTTGAGTACACAGCAGTATTCATGTCTCATCTGCTTCCTCCCTGTTCAGACTATAAACCCTCTTTTGTCTAGGGTCCTTCTCTAGATCTTGGTACTCTTCTAATAAACTTTTTATTCTCACTAATTTTCAAATTACTCTTGCCATCTTACTGAAGAATTGTACTTAAGAGTTTCCTTTCTACTAAAGGTAAACTGTTCTAGATAGATAAGAATTTATTCTATTTTCAAAAACAAAAAAAAAAACCCTTGTTTTTAATAAAAGTAAAATGTTTATTTTAAGCTATGAAAAAAAAAATGTTTCGGAGATTTGGGAGGCCAAGGCTGAGGCAGGAGGATTGCTTGAGGCCAGGAATTTGAGACCAGCCTAAGCAACATAGCAAGACCCTATCTCTACAAAAAATAATTTTTAAAACTTAGCCAGGCATGTTAGCACATGCCTGTAATCTCAACTACTTGAGAGGCTGAAGTGGGTGGGTCGCTTGACCCCAGGAGTTCAAGGCTGCAGGGAGCCATGATCATGTCTCTGCACTGCAGCCTGGGCAACAGAGCAAGACCCCATCTTAAAAATATTATTTTAGAAAATTTGAATAGTGGAGGCCAGGCGTGGTGGCTCAGGCCTGTAATCCCAGCACTTTGAGTGATCTCAAATAACTTGAGGTCAGGAGTTCGAGACCAGCCTAACCAACATGGTGAAACCCTCTCTCTACTAAAAATAAAAAACTTAGCTGGGCATCATGGCACACAGCTGTAATCTCAGCTAATGGAGAGGCTGAGGCAGGAGAATCACCTGAACCCATAAGGTGGAGGTTGCAGTGAGCCAAGATTGCACCACTGCACTCCAGCCTGGACAACAGAGTGAGACTCCATCTCGAAAAAAAAAAAATTGTGGAGAAGCAGAATAAAAGTCACTCTGAATCCTGGGAATTACCTAAAATGGCAGGGGAAGGGATGAATCTACATAACAGACACCCAAGTCACAGTGTTAGTATCCCAAATATCCTAATCCTACCCTTGGAGTTAGTTGGAAGCAAAATTAAGTTAATATCAGGCTAGCATCAAGAAAAGCCAAATCCTGCCCTAGATTAGTTAGTCCTTCCTTTGAGATTACCATGGGTCATAAATGCACAAACAGACCCCACTGTGGAACTCCAGGGTGCCAGACTGGACTATGGGAGGGTCTTTTGCCAGGTATAAGCAGACCTACTTTGACTACTTCTCCCCAAAAACTGTTCATTCCAAGAAGAAGAAAGACCAGTCCAGAAAACAACAGGCAAGGAGTATTAGAGGAGAAGAACAAGTGATTTTGCCTGATGCCAGGGTACAAATGTTTAGCCTATTTCAAATACATTCACCGAAGAAGATTCTAAAATCTAACTCAGTAATGTACTTAAAAACTCAATACATTACTTTAAAAAATTAGCAATAGTCAGCAATCCTTCAAATCCCTTGGCTTCATAAAAAGGTTGGCCTCTTTCCTTTTTCCAAAGAAGTTTAACTTTTGCTTGCCTCTTTCCTTTTTCCAAAGAAGATTAACTTTTGCTTGCTCACTTGCTTTTTTTTTTAATTTAAAAAATTTTTTTAGAAATAATATCTTGCTATGTTGTCCAGGCTGGTCTTGAACTCCTGGTCTCAAACAATCCTCTTGCCTAGGCCTCCCAATCATTTACTTTTTCTTAAAGGTGTGACTATTTTGTTAATACAGTAACACAGAGCTGATAATAATAAAAGTAGTTCTATTGATGATAATACTTAACATTGTCTGGATAATGCAAGTGTTAAATATTGTTTGCTTTATTGAAACATTGATAACAACATTTTATTAGTATGAAACTACCTACTTCTAAACTCTGATTCCTTTCCTGAAGAAAGGGCTGAAGAAAACAGAAACAGAGAACAAAAAGTGCATGGGTTGGTTCATAGTTACTTTCCTTGTAAAAAGTTAAAGCAGAGGGGACTTCTTTATTATGCTGGCTAAAACTGGCCTGTTTGGAGATTTGGCTATTACCTCTCTCTCTCTTCTGATTTCTTGGAAAATCAAATAAACTGTCAGCATGAGTAAGTATATTTTGGTTTGGTCTGTTGGACCTAGTGCAGAAACTCAATCCAAACCAATGGCTTTGTATAAACTTTATTTTACATATAAAACATAATTTTTATTTTATATGCTTCAGGGAGTATTTTAAAACTTCAGTTCTGAATTAGGTCCAACAAAAGGTTGGAAAGAGTAAAGGAGAAATAACTGAAAGACACTGAGAGAGGCACAGTAATGGAAACACAGAAGGGGAGCTTAGTAGGTTTACTACAATAAGACAAGATATTTTGGTCCAATGTGGGTTATTATAAAAGAAACATTTTTGTTGTTTATACAAATAGGCTAGGTGCAGTGGCTCACGCCTGTAATCTTAGCACTTCGGGAGACCCAGGTGGGCAGATCACTTGAACTCAGGAGTTTGAGAGCAGCCTGGGCAACATGGCAAAATGCCGTCTCTACCAAAAATACACACATACAAAAAAGTAATATATGCTTTGGAAATGAATATTAGTTTATCATTTTTGTGCTAAAGAATGACCTTCCCAATTCTTATTTTTATTTTGTTAGAGCTGGGGTCCTGCTACATTGTCCAAACTGGTCTCAAACTTCTAGCCTCATGACATCCTGCAAGTGCTGGGACTGTAGGAGTGATCCACCATGGCTAGTCTTAGTTCTTTTTTTTTTAGATAGAGTTTTGCTGTGTCACCCAGACTGGAGTGCAAGGACATATTCACAGTTCACTACAGGCTCAACCTCCTGTTCTCAAGTGATCCTCCTATCTCAGCCTCCCAAGTAGCTGAGACAACAGGTGCATGCCACCATACTCTGCTATGTTTGTTTGTTTGTTTTTTTTTTTTGAGACGTTTTGTTCTTGTCACTCAGGCTAGAGTGCAATGGTGCAGTCTCGGCTAACTACAACCTCCATCTCCTGGGTTCAAATGATTCTCCTGCCTTAGCCTCCAGACTAGCTGGGACTACAAGCGCCTGACACCATGCCCAGCTAATTTTAGTATTTTTAATAGAGATGGGGTTTCACCATGTTGGCCAGGCTTGTCTGGAACTCCTGACCTCAGGTGATCCACCCGCCTCAGCCTCCCAAAGTGCTGGGATTGCAGGCATGAGCCACTGTGCTCAGCCCACCCCGTTAATTTTTATTTTTTTTGAGAGAAAGAGTCTCACTATGTTGCCCAGGCTGATCTCAAACTCCTGGGTTCTAGCAGTCCTCCCACTTTGGCCTCCCAAAATGTTGGGATTACAGGTATGAGCCACTGTGCCTAGCCTTAGTTCTTATTTTTAAATGTCAGCATTTTTATTTAGTTGAAGATTTATTTTTGCATGCAATTTAATTTTTGAACATTTGTAAATAAGACACTAAGTTTTAGAAATTCACTTTAAAGGTATTGGTAAACTCATGATCTCTCTTTGACATTCAAAACCTATTACTTTGCCTTATCTATCTTACGTGAAACTCCCTCATTCCACAGTATCTACAAGCAAGTCTGAGTATTTTCGAACTATTGTCTGCATAGTCATTTGCTTGATTAAAAAAAAAAAATCTCTTTAGAAGTACTCCAACTAAAGAAATGAGAAAGGAGATGAAATTGGAATTTTTTTCTTTTTTTTTGAGACAGAGTCTCACTCTGTCTCCCAGGCTGGAGTGCAGTGGCACGATCTCTGCTCACTGTAACCTCTGCCTCCCAGGTTCAAGCAATTCTCCTACCTCCAGAGTAGCTGGGATTACAAGTGTGCGTCACCAAGCCCAGGTAATTTTTTGTATTTTTTTAGTAAAGACAGGGTTTCACCATGCTAGCCAGGCTGGTCTCGAACTCCTGACTTCATGATTCGCCCACTTTGGCCTCCCAAAGTGCTGGGATTACAGACGTGAGCCATCTCACCCGGCCTCAAAACTGGAATTTTATAACTTCTAATGAATTAATGGATCTCTGCAAAGTTCATCAGCAGCTACCCTCATAGAAAATAAGAGACATAAGACCTTAAGTACCTCTTGATGTAATACAACACTGGAATAAAGTGGTCTTGCCT